CCTTTTCACGTGATCGCTCGTCACGAAAAGACCTTCAAGGTTGATCGATATGGACGCGTCGAGATCGTCAGCATTGATCGTCTCAAACCAGCACACGTCGATGACAGTGCCCTATCTGATAACCTGAGATTCAATGCTAGACCTAGCAAACCTACTAGCGGGATCCTCAAACCATCTTCAGGTCCCACGCTAGATACATCTGAGACCTCATTCTCACGTCCCAGTCAACAGCACGCGTCATCTGCACCGTCTACGGATGAGACGACAGTCTCACGTCCAGATCAGCAGACCACGCCGCCCTTGACTTCGGATGAGATTGCAGGCTCACGCGACGCGAACGAGACTACCGTCTCACGTTCCGGTCGCCGAGTACGGTTACCCGTACGCTTCCGCGACTAGCCGCACAGTTAACAACCGATACGGTGTAGGATTATTCCTATACTACACGCATGCTACACTCTTCTTTTTTTGATTTTCTTTTTGTTTCCTGAGCCCACGCCTTCGACCATCTCCGTTTGGTTCCGTCGACTTCAGTCAACTTTGGCGAAAGCTGGCCTGATCACCCACGCTCTTGTCAACGTACTCAGTCGATATTTGGTTTCGAATGCTTGGCACACGCTTGGTCTCGAACTTGGTCGTTATGGTCGCTTCTGGTTCATTGGCTCAACGTGGTTTCGTCCTACGTCTGCAGCGTTTCTGGTCCACACCCTACGAACGCCCTCTTCAGATTCTGGATACAAACCACTCTGGTGTAGCATGCCAACTCAAGCAACAAATACAGCACATCGCTCCTGGTACCGTTCTCCGAAAACGACCTTCGTTGGCAACTCGACGATCAACGATCGCTTTCCTGTTCGCCAATTCTTCCGTCCTACAATCGCTCGTCAGCCGATCAGTCCCACGATTCAAACCGCTATTTATCGAAAGTGTAAACCCTTTCTAGCGGGGGGCTCCTGTAGTGACTCACATTTATCACGAGAACACGACTGGTTTAATAGAAACAATTATTATTATAACCAACTGTACCAGTGTTTGTTTTAACGTGCTTTTGTTTGACTGTGCTAATGACAGCTATTTCGTGCTTCCATTCTTATACTTACACTTCGATTGTAACTTCGCGCGAATTCGGTTACCTTCTGTAACCAAGGTTGTATCCTGGCACGATCTCGGTATCCTTTCGATGCCACGAGATCGCCAGCTAATAAACCTCGACTTGGTCCATTAATTGCCTTCTGGTATTCGGCTTCTCGGGGATTTTATGGAGTCATTTGGAACGAGCTTCTTACGCCTTCTGATCTATTTGGCACGTGTTTCTTGGTAGCGGTGTTCATAGTTAACCTCAACTCGACGCCACGCTACAACATCATCAGCGAAAAGTGACAAATCTGAGGATACCTGCTGAGGAAAGTCGTTTACATAAATTAAAGAAAAGAGAGATCCTTGTCTCGAACCCTGAAGGACCCCGCTAAGACATTCTAGAGCCTGAAAACGTGAAGTATATCATGACTTTAAAAATTCGATTGTTTAGATATGAAGTAAGCCAATCAATTTACAGTAACTTGATACCTAGTTGTTTGGACATATTGATAAGACATACATGACTGACCCTATCAAAAGTTTTTGAAAAGTCAAGGTATATGACATCGATCATCCCCTCGCGGTCAAGGTTGGTTGTCCATCTGTCGACAGCGGCCAGAAGTTTGATTATACAAAAGTGATCCTTCCTGAAACCGTGCTGTTGGTGTGAAAAGAAGTTTATGGATAAAATGCAGCAACGTAGATCACCGTATATCAGGGACTTCATATATGTAGACGGTATTGATAGAAGTGATACCGGCCGGTAGCTTAAAGGTTAATTAAGTTGGCCTCTTTTGAATATTGCTGTAATGTGAGTAGGCTTCCAATTCTCTGTAACTGTACGTCGGTACAGCGAATGTGAGAACATCAGGCTAAGTGGTTTTGCATAATCTAATACTGAAGTCTGTCTTCTCTTATTGCCTTTACGCATTGGTACCTTACTTGTCTGAACTGCCTGTATGTACTATTGTCACTAGTTTGTTGACATTTCACCCTGTAGTGCTTTTTGCGTCTTAGCATTCGAAGTGTGTGACTCACAATGACTGATAGTACTTGTAATATGTAAGGGCTGGTTGTGTGACAGACTGTTTTGCAGATCATAAGATGGTGTGCAGAAAGAAATTCAAATGTGCGTATTGACGCGGATCTTCCCAGCCCACCTACTGTAGATCAACCTGTATCAGTGACATATCTAACAGTTGTAATTCCAACGCCTATTGTTAGCAGAGTGTTTTAGCTCAGTTTTGCTGATAAAATTGAAGGCTAAGACGGCATGATCAATTTTTTCCAGAGGAACCAAGAGGTTGTCAATCAGTAATTCTCCGTTGGTTAATATGCCATCTAAGCGTGACGGCGTCTGGTTATTTCATGTGACCTGTCCAGGTGCATCTGAATTCCAGTTGGTAGCCGACTTCTGTTTGAACAAAACGATTCGAGAATGGCAGCCGCCCTTTGAAATATAGAAAGATTATGTTAATTAGCCAGGGCTTAGGATCACCGCCGTTTTTGGTTAGTCGCCCCACCTGTTGAGTTCCTATGTCCTTAAGTACCAAGGACGGCTTTATGAATTTTCACTCTAGAATATGATAGTTTGTTTGTCATGGTTCGCAATTTTTAGAACACCCTGCACGACGATATTTCTTCCGCGACGGAACGTCTCGCAAGATTCCCTAGGGATATTCCTGATGGGATTGGGCTCAGAATATGGTATATCAGGTAGTATCCCTATATCGCCTTCAGATTTCACCAAGTGACTGGTCAGCAGAACATCCCCAAAATCAGCAGTAATACCGGACACTACACGATGGAGTCTCTAATGATTTTGGTGCTTGAAATCTTCTCGAGTATAACCATAAGTAGCTCAGTTTCGGGAAGTTTATGCTTCATGTCCAACTCTTCTCAGATCATCCTGTCATCTTTGTCCTACAGACTGAAGGGAAAGACAAAGCTGTAATCAGGGTTCATGATTATTAAAGAATCATGTCCAACCGTATTCGATTTCCCAGGTTTTCGAATACATTCAGGTCGAGGTCTTTTTTCGTTTGACAGTTGGATTACGTTTCGGATTCATGTGAACATTCCTGACTGCTTGGACAATCTAAAAGGTACATTGCAAGGCAAATGCACTAGCTGATTTTTCTATCAGACCTGGGATGTCCGGCACTTTCGATGGTGATACTCGATTCTTTTTAACCCTGTTGCCAGGAGCCTAGTCACACACAGAAGCTAGGCGCTCGCGCTCGAGACCCAAGGCCTGGGTTCTAATCCCGTATTTGGGGTCGTGAATGCGTACTGCTGGGTAGTCACATAATGGGACGAAACAGCAGCATAGTCCTTCCAGATTTATTGGTGGGCTAACATTGATTGGTTATTGGTCCCAATCAAGAAGGCTTACAGAGTGTTTGAGGGTCACAGTTGCATTTAGGGAGTCTCTGCTGAGAGAGTTACATACTGTCAGTTTTATGGCGGTGTTGCGTTTCAGCATATCATCACTGGTGTCAGTGAACTTCACACCGATACTAATTTTGCTGAGACCCTCTGATTTGCTTCATTGTGCGTCCTTGTTAATCCGTTTCAGGACCGCCTTTTTCGGGACTGTTGAGAGATTTTTTCGCAGGTCTGTCAAGAGAACGATGATATTGCTCAGCGAATCTCCAGCATTCATGTTACATGTGCCACATACCCACCTTTTATGGAAATTACTAATTATGTTGTAAGCAGTTACCGTAGGATCTGTGCATACTTCGTGAAATCAACCTTTGTATTTGCCACACTGAACACTATAGGTGACGGCAAAATGATATCCACGTCGCTTATGTGAGTCATGCGTGATCATGGTGAAATATGAACTGTTAGATAGATGCCAGCAAAAGTTTACGATCTCAAACAAAAAACAGTATGGAAGTGAGGTTTTAGGGGGATTATAGTATTTTAACAGTTGAATCCATGAGTCTGTCTGAGTCAAACCACCATTGAAAACCTGAGAGCATTGGACGGCCGTTTCGTCCAGAAGTGTTAATGTTGGCTCAGAGGTTTAGAAGTTAGGCGGTTGCAATCCATGGAAGCGTATGTGTTTGTCAAATCTCCTCTTAAAGCCATCTGTTGAGCGAACCATGGTCACTTCAGCTGGGAGAGCACTCCAACTGAGGGTAACTTAATGAAAAATATTGGGAACGTACCTGGGTGTTCGCTCTCTAAATTGCAATCTTTTGACGGTTGCCTTGACGGGCTTGGCGATGATATTCTGGCAGAATAACCGTTCATTATGTGGGTTAGTGTACTTAATATATTGTATGTTATTGTAAGATCACCTCCTTACTCAACTTCAGTAATAACAGTTGTTGGAGACTGCCTTCGGAAGATTTGTGTTTTAGCCCCAACACTCACTTGGTTTGCTTCGTCAGATTAGGGTCTGGGTTCGTATTAGTGTACTTACAATTCTGCTAGAATAACGGACCTAATCCCAAAATTGCAGCTTTGTCACCTAATCTATAAGATCTTACGTGAAAGTCAAACTATAATCTATAACAACTTGTCCTATCGTTACATTCAACAATATGATGATTAGCACTTCCAAAAGAAGCATTCTGTCTGGGTATAGAGTAATATATTTCGCATAAAAATGTTACATAGAATGCTCACATCAGCATGGACGAACCATACCATGCTGGTAAAGTGTTCCGGCGTTCACCATTTTTCCAACCTTCTCTAAGTGCAAATATCCTGAGTTATTGTGTATATGTCTTCAAGGTTCGGGTGGTTGAAAAACAATATTACTACACTATTCTCTGTACCTGGTTCAAGAGATTTATGTCTATTTTTAGCGAGGAGGCAACGATATTGTGAACTTCGAAGTGAGTCCATGCGTTTGCTTTACAGTCGAATTTCTGACGGAGATAAAAGGGCAGGATTCTACACAGAGACAAATTTATATACTTATCGGTAAAATTACTAGTTATTCCGTAGATGTGTCCCCAGAAGCGCCATGTATGAGAGATCCGCCACACGTCTTAAGGTCACATGGTTTTCAAGAAAAATAATAAAATATCAAGCATAAATCAACGTAAAAGTACTAATCGATCTGTTCCCGGGAGCTTCGGCCGTCTTCAGTACCTACAGAATCTGGTTAACGAATATCAGCAAACTGAAATAACGGAACACAAGGAACAGGTTTGTACTTGTTAGTTTCTATTGCTCAGATTTTAGCCAATCTTGCTAATTTCTGCTACGACTCTCGGAACGGCCCACAACTCCGTCAATTGCGCGTCATTGATCTCTTTTTTGACTGCATCTTAGAACCATCAAGTGCGTGGTTCAAAGCTGGTAAGTTTAATTATATATATATATATATATATATATATATATATATATATATTTATATATAGGCCTTTAATGGCCTATATTTTATCTGAGGTGATCTCAAAATTAGTTTTCTGCCGTCTTTATTTTTATTTTTCCCGTTGAAACCATAATTTACGACCTTTGAGCGACGCTAGTGATTTTGAGCATGTCCACTTACTAAATAGGACTAAATGAGGGCTATAAATCAGTGTGAGGAGTTAGATTTAGGATTTTCATCACGAACTGACATCAGCTAAAGTTCCAAAACGCTCTTTGGCCAAAATAGATGGGCTGCACGCCAAAATTAACACATGTAATCTTATATCTGTTTGGTTCGTCCGTAAATTATAGTTTCGCCGTGTTTATGTCGATTCGTCTCTAATATGATGGATGAACAAAGATATGCAGGATAACGTAAACCAGACATGTGTTTGTATTTTTATTGATTGATTACATAATCATGTATTACTTCGTGTCTACCTAAAATGAGGTAGCCAGGGTATAGTTTTACATTGAGTATCATATATTTCATGACAAAAATGTGCTAATGGCTTCATAAAACACACACTCAGCCGCATTACCATTTTTGTACGCGGTTTACAACGATACGTTTTGAAATTAATTCTCATCTGTCTGCACACTCACATTTGACACATTTATCACAAAAGTTCAGTTCAATTTTCTGACAGTGTACCTTCTTTTATCACTGTTACCTATTCTAGTCATACCTGTTATCCAGGATGCATTGTAACATGTTCAGAACACTTGTTACTCCTTGCATCATTTTTAGCCCTCCTATTCCGTCTTTCGACGTATCCTGAACTTGCTGCTTTAAAATGTGATACATCAGATGTCTCAGTATAAGCCAAATGGAAGGAATATTCCACTTGAAAGTGGCATATATTGGTGGAAAACGCTTGACTTCTTATGACGAGATATCAATACAGATCCAGGATGCTCGTCTTTTGCACTGGTCTTGGTCAATGTTGAACAAACGATAGGAGGTAATTAACCTCGTTGTCTACTTATCTCAGAATCCTCATTAGCCATAATGAATTGGTGCCTAGCGAAATATCAGCACGGTTTCAGAGAGATTGTCTGGATCCTGGGAACTTGCATCATTCGTAGCATAAACAAAGTGTACATCTAACGACCGAAAGTTTGGCATACAGCTCAGCAGTCCACTATATATTATTATATTGCTCTAAAACAGTTCTCAAAAACAGAACATTCGTGAACTACGGGTATTTTCTTCATAAATGGGGCAGTAAAACCAAAAGCAGCAAACCCAAGTTCCGAGGGCGAAGTCGTACTGCTGACAGTACACATGTGTGACGGCAGTAAGGTGTTTCCTTCAGATAATCGGCATAACAGCGCTGCTGCCTTTCCACAAGGATGGGTGGAGTTCGAATAGGTCGACCCAAAAAATGCATATATCACCTTATCCCACGGATTTCCGCTTCTTGCGGTAATGTCCCAACAAGTATGGAGCTAACGTTAAAAGGTCGTGTGAGACCGAACTCCGTCTGTCAATTAAGGGAAGAGTATTCTGCGCGGCAGTCCGTTCTGTTCTACTTTACGGCTGCAAAACGTGACCATTAAGGGTAAAAGATACTCGTAATTTACTAGTATTTGATCATAAATGTCTTAGAAATATTGCTCACATCTTCTGGATCACCGGGTAAGTGATAGTGAGGCTAGACGCAGGGTATTAGAGAATGATGGTAAATCAGTTGATGAGGTTGTAAATCTTCATCGACTGAGATGGTTGGGCCACGTGTTACATATACCTGAACATCGATTACCACGACGCGCAATGCTGACTAGTGTTGGGGATGGTTGGAAGAAAGTTAGGGGCGGCCAAACTAAAATGTGGCATCAGTCCTTGAAGTGACTAACTTCTAGCCTGAGCGATGTTGGGAGATGCATACTACTTGGTTGGGGTCCGCGCGACTATCATAACCAATGGTTGGAGACTCTGAGTGACATGGGTCAGAATCGATCACAATGGTTTAGGTGTATACACTCTCTGTTTTCCTTTAAACTGTGAGATTAAACTTGCTTTATACTTTTATTTCTACAAATTTATTCTTTCTTCCTGTATTATATGCTTATACACAATCTTTCTTTTATATATTACTATCAATGAAGTAACTACTTCTATGAATTTGGTGTTCATCTTGTTGTGTTAATGAGGTATGGCAACTTGAAATGATGCATATATGTGTCTGGTCCTACGTTGTTAATGACTGATTGACTGACCAGGCTACTCGGCTGGTGTTCCCATAATTATTCTAACCAGTGGGTTGAAACTTTATGCGGAATGGTTTAGAATTTATCTCAATGGCACAGGTCCATTGACTCTTGTTTTTCCATATATCCTGAGTTTCGGAATTGTGTTATCTTCTCCTTTGGCCATGTGTTGTAGTTTTAGTTTGGCATTTTTTAAGACAGTTAAAATTACTACTTTTGTGTCCACTTTGATAACTTTTCTGTGCTAAGTAGTGTGGCAACTGCGTCCTATACACATTTATTCTAAGTTTTACGTTGTTTATGTCTGACTAACTACGTAAAGGACTATAGTGTTTAGCTGAATAGGAGAGATAATCTTTATTACTAAAGATGCATTGTAATAGATTTTGCACATATGAACATATGGTTTTTCTCATTTCGCTAACACTCACTAGTAGTATTCATACGCTATTGAAGATATAGAATATTCTCATTTTGAAGGAACATTGACATTCAAATAATTCTAGTAAAATTCGTTTTATTTATATTGACATATGTTTGTATTTCAGCCTTCCAATCCGGATCAAATTTGAAAGTTGATGAAAGCGAAGCTCGTCTAGTTGAATTTGCTCTTGGAGGTTTATCTAATCTGTCGGCTTCATCACCCCTAAATCGTCAGGAAATTCTCAACCACATACATTTACCGTGTATTGTAGCTTGTGTCACATCTCCAGACTCAACAGTTGTTGTACATTCGCTGACTATTATCATACATTTGTTTACTCGTTGTCCGAATTCAGAAGATTTTATTTCTTTGGGTACTAGGTTTCCTGCTATCATCCAAATAGCTCGTCAGTATTGTGAGTCACGTAGTCGGGAGACAGATATTGATCCTCGAATTCCAATTTTATCACAAATACTATTGGAAGACTGTTGTAATTGCAGTTCTTCTCATTAAAACTTTGTTGTTTCATCCAAATGTCCTTCGTAAAGAAATTTCGATGCTTACAAATCACATTATTTCTTAATACTCATCGATCCCTATCTCTATGCTCACCTACAACATTTTCAGTACATTCTTATTGTCAGCTGCCTTTAACTACTTTGCCCGAAATTCATAAGAGAAATATAAATGAGAAAGTACTATCGACCTGTTCTCAACTTAAGGTAGCTTTATTTAGTACTATATATATCTGATGATAACTTTTTAAATTATCAATTCCAAACACGTTTTTCGTACTTATTGATCTTTAGGTTGTGTGATCTAAAATCCAGATATTCGGCATTGAATCTTGACTGAATTTCACCTATTACCTGCTTCGGTTTGGGCACACAGGCAGTATCACAGCCCCTACACAAATCAAATGAGATATGTGTGGCGCATATGTATCTAGTGTTCCCTTGTCCAAGTAAATTAGTTGCAAAGTTGTCTTATTTTAAGCATATCTCAATAACTTTGGCTTCATCGACTTTCATAAAATTAAGCTATTATTACAACCATGTGTAGTCGGAAGTTCGAAGTTATGTCAGAGTTTAATCTTCAAGGCGGATGAGTTTTTTGAAAAATTCTGACTGTGACCATATGCTTCAGAAAAATGTCGAAAATGTACAACGGGAGGTCATTCATTTTTCAGAATAATTGCTTCCCAAGCTGTTTTGTGCTGGTACTAGCATACAACGTTCAAGGTGGTATCAGACTATAGTATAGATAGTTTAAAATTAAAAACATCATCTGGTAAAGTTTGACTCATTGGCTAAATAAAACCTACTGGATGTGAACGTTAAGAGTGATTCCTCTTCAAATAAATGATGAGTTTCGTCCGTAGCTACTACATTACTGAAGTAGGGGCTTGCTCATTGTAATTCATTTTATGGCTGGCTTTGAGCAGGTACCCATTAGGCTCTGCTGTTAGGTTCTCAGGTCAAGGTTTTTAATACTAATTCGAATTCATTTCAGGTTTTGTTAAGAAATAACCTTCTGAGTATCAGCAATAGAAAAGCGTCGATTGTTCATGTACTTTCGCCAAAACTTATGCCTATTTCTCTCGCTATGAATTCTGATCGTATCCCATGTTTTGTGTTGTCGACGAAGTTGGTCCAGCATAAATGAGATATCCGTCTATCAACTAAGGGACGAGTATATTACAGAGCGGTCTTCCATGTACTAATCTACAGTCACGAAAAGTGGTTTTTAAAGGAAGGAGACAACCATATACGGCAAGTATTTGGTCATAGTTGTCCGTGAAACATTTCTTACCTCTTGCAGAAAAAAATGGAGTGAGCAATGCTGAGGTTAGAAGTAGGACATTAAACAAAGATGTTAAATCGATTGGTGAGGCTGTGAATCTTTGTCGATTTAAGTGAATTAGAGGAGTGTGTAACGTATACACAACTACTATCTATCTAGACTCTCAATATTGATTGGGATAGAAGTAGGTTGGAAGAAATCTAGAGGTCAGTCAGTCAGCTACAACGTAGGACCAGGCACATGTATGCATCGGCCCAGGTTGCCATACCTCATTAGCACAGCAAGAGGTAATCAGATTATGACATGAAATCAACCCACACAACCATTGACTACTAGTCTAGGATATATCATTAGGTGCAAAATCTCTCATTAGGACCTTTACAATACTCATGGTAATGATTGGAGATGTTGGATAATATTGTCTAGATGAGGTCTCGTTTGCACTCATTGTTTTCCTCGAAATTCAGAATTTAGTGTCACTCTTTGACCGTCCATATTGGGACTAGCTTCTCTCTTTTGCTTATCAATTTCATCGCTAGCTTTCTTACGTGGTGTGTGGTAAATCGAACTTAAATATATTCGTGCCACAATTCCCACATTATTAATGATTGAGGTACATCAATCTGTATACTATAGTATGTTTATTATAGTGTTGAAATACAATTTATTAAATCAATAATATGCTACAAATCTTGTAATTTGTATAACCATAAAGCATCTTGTCTTTCACTGAGCATAATTTGCGAATGTCACATAACTACTGAACAAATTTTCCTAGTTCTTATACCATCAGTTTACTTTTAAATTATGAATTGCCTCTATGTTTTAATGTATCTCCATTATTCTAGAGTGATAAACTTGATCTGAATCCACAGTCTGAATCACTACCATATCAGTTACCTGGTTCATTAACTGATCAAAGTAAGCAATACTAAAAGAATACGATTTGAAAGTTTTAACTCTACTTAATTTATGTCTATTTTAGCATGCTATCGTTTATTTAATAACGTTTAACGGATCACATATCAAGGAAATTTTAATAATCGTCGATTTTATTATGTTCCTCGCTCATGACGAAACTAGTCAAGACGTAGGATTTATGACAAATATAACTCATTTGTCAACTACAGGCCTACATCATCCGCTTTGACCACAATTTATGTGGTACCTTGTGATATCCAGCTTAACACATCAGTGTGAATCGGGGATTGAACCCGTAGTTTCTTACAAATTTAGGGTCGTACTACACATTATCACATCAAAATAAATTAAATAAGTTGAAAAAATTATAGTATCGGTAAAAGTAAAAAAGAAGTAGGCGTTTGAGAGCCGATAAAATATGCTGGCGATTAGCATGAAATAATGTAAAAACTCGAGATTTAGAGTGAGCTAAAGATTAAATATATCTGCAATACTCTTGCTGATGTTTAGTTTGATTACTCAACCTTACAGCTATCTTGTGAACCCTAACCAACAGATCTACGCCCTTTGATATTATAGTGAACGACAACACAAGTGGGGACAATGAAATGTATTTGAACACAAAACTACAAAATCTCTTAGTAAAATCTGAAAACCATACAGTAAATTCTTCATCTGCAAAATGTCAATCAATTGTCTCAGACTTCATTGTTCATTTGTTTCCACACCAATCATTCTCGTTCTCTTTCCCCTGATCTTAACCTTCTACCATCAGGCATTCCACTTTCCATTGATGATACATACTACTTATATCTATCGACATCAGTAGCACACACCACAATATGACTCATTCCAACACTGAGCCTAAAACAGAAAATGACTTTCTAAACTATTTAAGACTGTAGAACATATATATTTACAATTTATCTGCTGAGACAACTAGCTTCTGACAATCTTAGTGTTTGTTGGGACAGTGATAGTTTTTAAATCGAGTCAAACATAATTGTTTCGAATACATTTACCATAGCATTGTAAGCTGTGTATAAAGTCTCATTTTGTATCTGTCGGTTTTCCACTTTCAACTTTTACTTACTGTCATAAATACTACTGGTATTTATACAGTTTCTTTCCCGTTGTTGGTAGTTCTCTATTCTTATAATGTCGAAGTATTTTAGATTGATTCAGTACATACTATTATACCATGTTTTATATTGTATCTGTCTTTCCTGGAGCCCAATCTTAATATTTCCTGGTGATTTGTTTGCCTAATCAAAATTATAATTATTGATTGTTCAATGTTTGTTTTATGTTAAAAGAAATATCAATGTTTTTGATAATGTATGTTTGTTTACCAGCAGATACAAGTACTGTTGATGTAGAATGTAAAAATCACTTTTGCACAGCTGAAAACTCCCAATCACTTGCAAGCACTTCAGTTAATAAATGGGTTTCTAGTCCTCTAATAACATCGTCATCATCATTCTCACCATCAACACCATGCCCAACTACAGTGGACCTTGTTTTAACTCAACTACCTGCTGTCCTACTTTTCAAACATTATGCATCAATTGCTGCAGGTCTTTCAAAGGCTCGTCTTACAGGTTTAGTTGTTTCAACTGCTTTAGTTGGTTGTGGCTTAGCAGCATCTACTAGTATGGTATCACCTGAATTCCTAGAAAATTGTTATTCGACTACAATTTGTTTAGCTCTTGGAACTACACTAACCAGTTCTGCTGCAAATTCAATCAATCAAGTAAGATATATTTTGTCAAATTATTTTGTGTTCTTAATAAAAGATCAAAAATTTGTTTTATGTTTTTAAGTGCTTGAATCTTATCATTACATATTTGCCGTTCGAGCAAATCGATCCAAATTTCTACATGATGGAATTAGAGGAGCAGGGAAAATCGAAGTGATTATCCTCGCAACTTCATCAGAAAGGTGTATAAAAAGTTGGCACACCAGTACGAAATCATCCACAAGTGACAAATAAGTTACATGTGCCCACAGAAAGTGGTGTGGGTTGGTAAACTTGAGGTTAGGAGCACTAAGCATGAACTGCCAAAAAGGCCACCAGTATATTCAATAGACGTTCGACAGTGGGATCTGTCTGGGTAGCTAGTGTCGCATGGAGAAGGGTTGGTGACGTGATTTGTGAAGCTAATGTCCAAATGAAATGTCTGACTCAATACATAAACCACGTACGACTAGGAGAGCATGCATCAATTAAGGAGTCACCTGAACCCAACATATCATTGGGTTGCCTTGCTGTTACAGCTAGCCAGGACCAACAAATTCGGAGCAACAGAAACAGCAATCAGGTCGTAAAAAGATCTTCAAGAAAACATCGCCTAACCTAACACCTTCAGCTAAATCCGGGAAACCAAATCTATTTTCTGAAGGGAAAGGAGATACATTGAGCCAATCAGAAATCAGCCAAATAATAAGTGCACGTGATTAGCCAAGAAATGGTTTCCATTTTTAAGAAATGAGACGTACATCATTATTGCGTTGATTTTCTAAAGGACAGACACACGTGAATGGGTGTATATGTCGATTCATTTATTCAGTAAACTTCCTTCCCCGCTTTCACTCTTCCCACCTGAGTAACCGGTTTGTCTCGTATATAAGAAGATTGTATGTCCGTATCGACATCGCACACTGTAAAACGTAGCAAAGTTCATCAAATTAGTTATTAACTTAGCTAATTGACATAGTTAAGTCGTTGTATGAGATTTCATTACCCTTGATAAGATCGCTGATTAGACGGGAAGTGTACACTATCGAGGAGTCCCATGTTGGGACGAAACTGCTCTCTAGTACTTCGTAGTTCTTAATAGTAATCCAACTAAAGTCGACCTGTAACAATTACAGCCTACAAATCTAGCCAGTTTCCTCAAAACCCGTCCAACTTACTTCTATTTCTAAAACAGTAACTGGATTTCATCCAGATATATATGAAGTAAATGAGAACACCCAGTTCGGGACAACCAATTTATTGTCTAATTCAAGATTACACAGTTCTTTGTTAAAATGTGGAAACCATACATCAAATACTTCATTCATAAATCTTCCGATTCTCAATCCCTATATATTTTCCTTTCTGTTTTCTTCGGCTCATCCACCTCAACTTTTTGATAGTCATCCCATTTCTGATCAGTGTTACATACTACTTATGACTGTCAAAATACGTAGCACACACCACATATATATTTAAAACCGGTTCACTAGTTGATTCATTCGCGTTACTTTTCACTTTGTCTACTATTGGCTATTGAATTAGTCATAGAAGACAAATTTTTACCTTTACAGTCGGCGGAAATTTCCCAGTGTTCGGATAGAGCAGTTTGATTTTTTTCTCTCATGATAGGATTGGGTAATCTTGATACTTCTCAGTTGTCAGTATGCAGTGCTGATAACCATCGAGATGTTAGGTGGTTGGAAGTGATCGGAAGGAAACCCTGACACATCTACGCTTCGTGCTAAATGGCACTCATTGGGAAGGCGTATCTGTATTAGTGAGGGATCTAACGCTCCCATGGGATTTGAATCTGTGTTATCCAGTTTCATAGTCCAATATATTACCACTAAAAAATTGTTTGATTTCTCAAGTTGTGGATATTATATCTAGGGTTCTTGGTAGAAACTATGACACTCACAATCATATAATCGTATTCGACCACTAAGTGATAATTCTAGGATTTATCAGCAAATACTGCTGTTTGTTTTTTTAAATTAAAATCCATTTTTCTGTTGGATCCATTTCTCGTCCCCCAGATTATCGAAATTCCTTACGACAGCCAAATGACTCGTACACGAAACCGTGTACTCGTTCGTGGCTTAACTACGTGAGTTGATTTCTCCATATTTTTCCAAATTGTATCATATATCGTTTGATAAATGCGAATAAATAGGCTTCTCTGCCTTTCAATGTATAAAATGGATTTCCTCCTCCTCAACACCATTAGTACATATACCTACTAGAATTTTTATACTTTGCCTCTAATAAATAGAATACATACAGATAGTCGTATTAAATGAAAAACTTTGATCCATAAATAGTAAAAGAATGAAAACATCTCGAGGTTATATCACCATGTCCCTGTGATAACCGGTCGATATTGGCGATCAGTTATGATTTCGTGCTGACAAACTCATTCATTGCCAGTTCTAAACTAACTATAGACATAAAGATGTCAGTTGACCACCCATCATTTACACTTGCAGATAGTATGGTTGTTGCTGCAGATGATACATATCAGAACATACATGTGCTACGTCGAAACCAATACCTAAAAGAGCTAATTTAGTCTGGAATCATGTTCCGGCTGGTCATTATTTGCCTATAATCTAAGTAGGTCTCAGAGACCAGCCTTTTAAATTTTAACGAAGTTGAGAAGACTGTAAAAAGCTTAATGTTAGAAAAGGTGACAGGACATAATGTTACGATTCCAAAATACTTGAGTAATAGTGATCAGAAATTATATATTTAACCAAACTATTGATTATAAGGATATGAGATATCATCCTAGCATACCGATCTTCAGCATCGCTCGGTCAGGTTCATCCAAAGGACTTTTGTGATGACTGTGGACAAATCATACTGGTAAGTGATCGCAGGCAATCTTTAGGAGCCCCTGTTCGATCTAGATTTCGTGTTATTTGTCACTTGGTAAAAAGACATGCCTACTGTTTTCGAGGAAACGAATCCTCCCCTAGTGAATTCAAAATCGTATTACCCATTGTCACCGTCAGAGACGTTGCCACGAGGCTGTTCGGGTTGTGACTAAACGATAGGGGTGAAATATTCACATTTATTAACCAGATGTCATATCTGTTTAGCCTTTTGATGTTAACTGTATTTTATCAGTCAAGTTACAGTAAGGGCATCATTCTAAATGACCCAATATTAGGTGCATTAAGTTTTGATGTTTAGTGTTTGGAAAACCATGCAATTGATTAGTTAGGACAGTTATCTGTAAGAGTTTGTATTTTCCCTTTATTGACATTAAAAATTGTAATTAATCAGTTTGTGTTCGCATATGTACGTCCTGAACGGATTGACTCGATGTTACGCTTCGTCACATGTTTTATAGAGTACATGGATTCTGACCATCAAACGAATCTAAAACGTACGCTTCCTCCCACTCGGGGCTTGTCAGCTGAATGTACCTGCAGCCCATTTTTGATGTTCACACTGCGATTGGAACCCCGTACCTTTCTCTTCGAACCCTCAATGTGTTACTCTCTGAGTCCAGACGGTCACTAACTTGCATTTTATTTGTAAGGGCTTGCATTTTCCCGTCCAAGATCACACTTTCATAAAAGCTAATGGGTAAGTGGAGTTACCGTCAGGATGCCCATACCCCAATAAGAACCAATCAGTTTCAGTCCTTACAAAAAGTACCATACTTTACTAGGTCATCTTAGCAAATTACTACTTACAAACAACATGAATGTAATTTGAAATTTTCTACTAGTTTTTGTTCCTAAATTCTATTAAAAACTTTTAGACCCGGCAGAGCAGCTCTTTTTGCACTGGCTTGTACTGGATCTGGACTATCACTGCTTTATTTCGGTGTAAATCCTCTTGTTACTTCATTGGCTGCTGTAAATATGTTATTGTATACATGTATATATACACCAATGAAACAGATTAGTCAGGTTAATACATGGGTTGGAGCTTGGGTTGGTGCTATACCTCCACTGATGGGTTGGGCTGCAGCTACTGGACAATTACAGTGTGGTAAGACGATATATATATATATATATATATATATATATATATATATATATATATATATATATATATATATATAGCTGTTATTTGTATGGTCCTTGTCGTCTGTTACACTACTAAAAATGCTGACGTTATTTTTCTGCACTGATAATGACCGTAAAGAAGATACAACAATCGAATTAACGTTTTCTTAATTATTAACTTGTCTCCCAGTTACAGATTCGTATACTTGAATTCGGGGGCTTGTGATACTGTGAGACTGCTCAAGCTGAAAATAGATTCACTAGTATTCGGACATGAAACTTAGTATCTAAAAGTCGAATGGCCCAAATACAGAGTCATCGCCTCGCTTAACGTTAGTAAGTTATGAAAATGTTTGACAGATAAAACGCCGGTGTTAATACTGTTTCTAGTATAGAAAGAACCTGAATAGTTAATTTTTCACGGATTAATATCTCCTAAAAAGCTACTGTTTTGTCTAACCAGGTGCTTCCAAATACTCTGGTACGGACGAGGGTGAGGGAAGTCTGCTCTCTTCCTTCAAAATGCTCTCGTATGGCCACGCGTATATAGCCAATGCCAGAGAAGTTCTTACCTACTTACGCCTGTTACTCCCAATGGAGCATAGGCCGCCGACCAGCATTCTCCAACCCACTCTGTCCTGGGCCTCCTTTCTAGTTTCATCCAATTCTTGTTCATTTTTCTCATGTCTATCTCCATTTCCGGGTGTAATGTGCTCTTTGGTCTTCCTCTTTTCCTTTGGCCTTGAGGATTCCATGTGAGGGCTTGTCTTGTGATGCAGTTAGGTGCTTTCCTAGGGAAGTTCTACTCACTCACTTTTTACTGCAGGGATATTGTTCACGATATTGAGAGAACGAAAAGTGAATTTTCAGAGCTTAAACTTTGTTAATAGATACGAAGGATCCATCCACAGGAGTTGAAAAACCCTGATTGCAAACTAATACTGCACATGGGCTTCAGGGTCCTGGAGGAACAGACGGTGCATAAACCCATTCTTGGTCACCAGGTACCATGGGATTGCATCTGACGTTGTCCCACTTCCTTGTAGACTAGATCTCTAGGCTAAAGGCTCGGCGAGTGGCCCTCTAAGAAAACCACCTGCTCTAGTTTGGGAACCCGAGCAATATCTCAGCCCACATAGAGTTGGTGATAAGTTTTGTGGTACATATATATTTGGTGCCCCTTTTTACCAACGTTTATGTTTAAATGAATAAATAAAGAATACATAACCCAACACAACTCGATTTCTAGCTTTATTCAGTTTCCACCACTGCACCATGCTATTATCCAATGTCATCAGTGGATAACTATTTCATTCTAGTATGGAATCCTGAACTGCCACGAGACTTTCTAAGCGCCACTTGTTTTCACTGATTTTCCGACTAATGTCAGTCGATGGTTGAAACCATTTTTAATTTGTGGAAACTCACACAAATCACTTTTGCAAAAATGATATTTAATGTGATGAGTGTACATGCTTCTTGTTTAGTGGTGCTATCATATGAACTTTTGATGAAGTTTACTATGTCATTTAGGTTAACGAAGTATTCTGGACCAGTCAAACAATATCTTCCACAAGAAAAATTCTTAGAAACTACATTTCTTCCTTTGGTGCCATGAACACACTCACGCTTACCTTGCGTGTTTCAGAGATTGTCTAAAATTGTGTATATGTTGGAAAAAACTCAGATATAATGACAACACCGTGTTTACTGTTTCTGAAACTGATCGATTTTCATAACTAACCGGGCAATATGTAGCTTAATTATTTAACCTCAAGTATTTCAATAATGATGTGCATTTGCTCAGTTTTCTCCTTTCACAACAAACTATAACAGTTTCTGTCCTATTCTATAATTTATTAATATTTTTCACGTTTTTTTTCTCTTTTTTAGGTTCAATAATCCTAGCATGTTTGTTATATGTGTGGCAATTTCCACACTTTATGGCACTCAGCTGGAATATGCGTAGCGAATATTCTAAAGCTGGTTACGCAATGACATCTATCATCAATCCGGATTTATGCAAGCGAGTTGCTTTACGTTATTCAATAGCATCAAGTTTAGTTTGTTTAGCTGGTGCTGGTTGCAGTGCTCTAAGTTTAGGACCATGGGCTGGTTGTGCATTAGGTATTGGTTCATTGCCAGCTAATATAGGCTTGATTTATTATGCATGGAAATTCGCCAAATCCAATTCAAATGTAGCTGATGGAAGTTCTGCTGCTGCAAGACGTTTATTTCGAGCAACATTATTTCATCTACCTGTAGTTATGATTACTGTGTTATTGGGTTCTTATTGTTCTATCAATTCTGGACATATGTAGTGATATATCTGTAGGCGATTGGATTAGGTTTATTAATGTATGTACCTAGATATTTTATAACATATTATCGTTTTCGCTTCTTAGTACATTACCTTTAATCACTCTCCTTTTTGTATCTCCAATGCTCTGAATGTACATGGAGTTTTCTTCACATTAGTTGTATTAGTAATTTTTCCCAACAGAATTGTTTATACTGAATGAGTATTTGATTATTTATTTTACTGTAGAGGGTTTTTGGAAATCGTTAAATTTTGTAGTTAACATTACGGATTGTCTTCAGTTAGATAATCATTAAAAGTCAGAAAAAACTGGACATTTGTTTCATCCTAGTATGAAACTCCCCACCATTGTGCATCCAACAGCTCGCCGTTTGTCGGACCTAGGAGCTCCAGGTTTTGCGGCGAGTGATTAACCTTTAGATTGCTAGGGCGGAATATAATGATTTATATTTCCAACTGTAATTAGTTCACAATATTGTGCAACCAACTTCTAATTTCACTGGTGGGTAATTGATTTGCATAAATTTCTGGGCTGCACGGATTATGGCTTCTCATGTCCTGATTATTGAGACATTTTCAGAGGAGATTTTCGAACTGACAGCGAGAAGCCGTAACCAGTAGAACTAAACATCTTATTACACAATGATTCCAAAGCCAATAGATCCGAGGGTCAAGAATAACAAGATGTGAATACTTATTTAGATTACAGGTTTATGTGCCGTAGTGTATAAAATTTAAACTGAACCACCGCAAGAGGCGCAAGCATCGCGTACTAAATGTGGTCCAGTGTGGATGCTTGACCGAGCACTTTCAACTAGTAAAATTAATAAGGTCAGTATTGCTGACGAAGGTATTTATTTACCTTTATAAATACTTAAAAATTATGAGATAATGATGGGCACAAAAATAAATGATCTATCTCACAGTAATTGCTGCAATGAATGATTCAGAATAATATAAAGACTTGACTTATCAAAAACATTCACTGACATATTACTAAGAGATGAAATCGAAAGCAGAAAAAAGTGTGTGTATAGTATGACATAGATATTACGTGACAAAAAGTGGGACGAACTCACTTTAAACGGGAAAAGAAGCGGGATTGTGCACTAAAAAGAAATGGTCTAGTGATTTCTGAAGGTCGTGACGCCAATAACGATATAGTGGATGAATGACTAATCGGAGTAAATAAATATATAATATTAAATAAATATAATGATCCGAGGAGTTAGTATTTTGATTGTTGTAATCTTATAATAAATCTACAACTTTTGCGGATAATACAACGATAATATGAATGATTTACAAAATTAACGGATAGAAGTAACCGGCACGTAGTTTGAACAATTCGACTTGAGTGTATTTATGTGTGCTGAATCGGATTCTTTTTCTCCATCGAATTCGATGAGTATGTCATCTGCATGTTTTTTGAGTTCATATTTCGTTTGAAATCGGGTTTATCACTGCGTCTCTATTGTTGACTTCAATCAATGACGATGTTCACGAAATACATTCATCCTTAACTTTGTATATCTTCTGTCAACCAATCGCGTAGGAATAAACAGCTTGATACGGTATGTATTTAGGACATGCATATTTTAGGCATTTATATGAGTAGGCAAACTGAGCGAAGGATGATAGATATTGAATTAATGTAAATAGGGCAAGCTGTATAAGTCAATTCAGTGGACAGTAGGTAACTTAGTCACTACATAAGGTCATTAGTGTGTGAATTACAGGTAATCAACTAAAGTATAGATAACGGATATACATAAGTCGAGCATAACTAAAAATTGCTCCAAGTTAAAGGTAAATAATTGACAAGTCTACACATATGAAAACATTATTTTATAACCACTATTACGCTACACAAACACTTGGTGAATATCACTAATTCATTGTAAATCGTAAATATATATAGCGTAGAGCCATGAAGAAAAATGTCTTCGCTTTGTTAGCTGTTAATAAATATATAAATGGTAATTAGCACTGTATGGAAATAAACATCCATGCATACAACATGCTCAACGAAGTTACAATTACTTACTTACGCTTGTTACTCCTCGTGAAGGAGCATAGGCCGCTCACCAGCATTCGCCATCCAACCCTGTCCTGGGCAATCCTTTCCAGTTGTTATTCGTCTTTTTCATGTCTGCTTCTATTTCCCGACGTAACGTGTTCTTTGGCCTTCCTCTTTTCCGCTTCCCTTCAGGACTCCAAGTTAGGGGTTGCCTCATGATGCAGTTTGATGATTTGCGTAGTGTATGTCCTCTTCAGCTGGAAGCTGATTTATCTTCTCCCACAGAAGGATATTGTTGATGGTATCTGGCCAATGGATGTTGAGCATCGTGCGTAGACAGCTATTAATAAATACTTGTACCTTCTTGCCCCCCTGAATGCCCTGGTACGGCCGAGAGTGGGGAGAGTCCGCTCTCCCTCTCGAAATACTCTCACACGGCCACGCGTATACAGCCTCTGCCAGGGAAGTCCTACTCATTGCCTTCTCGTGGCGGGGGTGTTGTCTACGAAAATGAGAGGACGAAAAGCGAATGTCCGGCGCTTTAACCGGATTCCAAATCAATGGTGCACATGGGCTCCAGTATCCTGCGGGAACGAATGGCGTATGAACCAATCGTTGGTCACCGGCTACCATGGGACTGCATCTCCTTACGATGCTCCACTGCCTTGTGGGTTAGACCTTTAGGTCAAAGGCTCGGGGAGTGGCCCCCTAAGATAACCACCTGCTTCGGTTTGGGCACCCGGGCAGTATCACAGCCCACACACAAATTGATGAACTCTTTATGCCTACGGAAATTACCTTTCTTGCTTTGAAAAACAAACAATTGATTCAGATTATTATCATTACAATTATTGTCATTATTAATACTGTTATTATTATTACTAGTATTATTGTCATTATTGTTATTATTATCATTATTATTATTATTTTCCACATTACTCACCCTCTTTTATACTTATACAGCGGCTCGTCTTTGGTGGAAATCCGACTGTATCTATACGTTCTCGAGTCACTGTCCGGTTGAAAATTGTATGTTACCACCGAATACGAGGACTGAAGCAGATTTTCTGAAACCACGTGCACCATTCAAACTGGCTGCCTTCAACGTTCGCACATTTATGCAGGTCGGACAACAGATAGGGCTGGCTATGTCTTTGGAAAGTCTTAATATCGACGTGTGTTGTCTATCCGAGACCCGTATTCAAGACTCTGGCGAAGTACTACAAATTCGATCTCCATCTGTCGCTTCGAAAAGCTTGTTTTACGTGCGCTTATCCGGGGACCCTGTGGCATCTTCGTCTGGTCTTGCTGGCGTTGGTGTCGCACTAAGCGCTAGAGCTGAGGCAGCACTAGTCGATTGGATCCCCATTAACAGTCGGTTATGTGCTGTTAGATTAGAAAGTTCCATCAAAGTGAGAAGAAATCGGCGTGAGAAACGATGTCTTTTCGTCATCTCCGCCTATGCCCCGACAGATTGCAGCCCGGATGCAATCAAGGATGAGTTTTACCACCAGTTATCAGTTCTTCTCCAGAAAGTGCGTTCGACAGATATTGTAGTACTAGCCGGAGACTTGAATGCTCAGGTCGGGCGTCTAGGCACAGAAGAGAGTCGTTTAGGTGGCCGATGGGGACTCGTTGGTCGCAGGTCAGATAACGGGGACCGTCTACTGCAACTTTGCACAGACCACAACCTGTTTCTGGCTAGCACTAACTTTCGGCACAGTCATCGCCGATGTGCCACCTGGCGTCCTCCCTCTGCATCTCAAGCCTGGACTCAGATTGATCACATCGCGATCAGCTACCGCTGGCGTGGTTGTGTAAAAGACTGCCGCTCCTTTTGGAGTACCTATCTGGACTCTGACCATGCCTTGGTCTGCGCCAATCTTGCCTTACTTTTCAGTGGACAACGAAGTGAACGCCATCAACGGATTGATGTTAGCAAGCTGGTTGCAACTTCTGTTGCAAGTAAGTATCGAACCGAGCTAGCCTCTAGGCTAGCTACCACTCCACCGAAAAGTATAGATGAGCATTGGTTGCAATTGCATGACGCCATGAAAATGGCGGGAACAGTCAGTTGTGGGTTTGCGAAACGTCCCGCTTTAAGCACTGGGTTTCTTCTGGTTCCTTACAACTCATTGAAGCCCGTCGGTCTACTCCGGGTGACCGTGAGTTTGACCATAAACGAAGGATGTTACGTAAGGAAATTGGGCAAAGCTTGCGTAAGGACCGAGAAGCCTGGTGGTCGATGCGTGCTAATGAGCTGGAAGCAGCAGCTGCATCTGGTAACTACCGGAAGCTCTTCCAGCTCATCCGAGCCACTGGCAGCAAGAAGTCTGGTGTGAGTGAAACAATCTGCGAGGATGATGGGATGCCAATCACTAACATCCATCGACGTCTTGGACGATGGGCAGAATTTTTCGAAGGGCAGTTCAACTGGCCTGCTGCTCCGGCAACATCGGTCAGACTGTCCTGCCCTCCATGGCCGGTGACGACTGATCCACCAAATGAGGAGGAAGTCCGCAAGGAACTCCAACTCTTGAAGCGTTACAAATCACCTGGCCCAGATGACTTACCTCCGGCTCTTTTTAAAGATGGTGGTGACTTTTTGACTAAGGAATTGACGACGTTGTTTACAAAGGTTTGGGAACTAGAGTGTGTACCAACGTCATGGAATGAGTCGATAGTTGTCCCTATCTTTAAAAAGGGTTCACGTCGTTCTTGTAACAACTATCGGGGGATAAGTTTACTTCCGATTGCGTCCAAGCTATTGGCTTCCGTCATTCTTCGTAGGTTGTTCAAAACCCGAGAAAGATTGACTCGCGAGGAGCAGGCTGGGTTTCGTTCTGGTCGAGGATGTATTGATCATATCTTCACCCTCCGCCAAATGTTAGAACACCGCCATACTTTTCAAAGGCCAACAATCGTAGTGTTTCTTGACATCAGGGCTGCCTTCGATTCGTTGGACAGGACTGTTCTCTGGGATTGTCTATTGAAGAAGGGTGTGCCTGAGAAGTTTATTAACATCCTGAAAGCCCTGTATAAAAACACCTCAGGCAGAGTGAGGGCATACAACCACCTCTCTCCATTGTTCCATTCGAGCAGTGGGGTTAGGCAGGGTTGCCCAATCTCACCATTCCTCTTCAACTTTGCCATCGATGACATTCTGGAAACAGCTCTGATGAATGTAAGTAATGGTGGTGTGGATCTGTTGCCTGGAGAAAGACTTCTCGACCTTGAGTATGCGGACGATATTGTCTTACTGTGCGATAATGCCCAAGGCATGCAATCCGCACTTAATCAGTTGGCAATCAGTGTCCGTAGGTATGGTATGTGCTTTGCACCTTCGAAGTGCAAAGTACTTCTACAAGACTGGCAGGATTCTAATCCTGTACTCACCCTGGACGGTGAGCAGATAGACGTAGTTGAGAAGTTCGTGTATCTGGGTAGCTGCATAAGTGCTGGTGGGGGTGTGAGTGATGAGATCAATGCACGAATAGTGAAAGCCAGAGCGGCTTATGCCAATCTGGGCCACCTTTGGCGCCTTCGTGATGTTAGTCTGGCTGTAAAAGGTCGGATCTACAACGCGTCGGTGAGAGCAGTTTTGCTCTATGCTTGTGAAACCTGGCCTCTCCGAGTTGAGGACGTTAGACGACTCTCTGTGTTCGATCATCGCTGTCTCCGAAGGATTGCTGACATTCAGTGGCAACACCATGTCAGTAATGCAGAGGTTCGGCATCGTGTGTTCGGGCACAGAGATGATAACTCAATTGGTGTCACCATCTTGAAACACCGACTTCGGTGGCTTGGACATGTTCTCCGAATGTCGTCCCAGAGAATTCCACGTCGTGCATTATTTGCCGACTCTGGGACTGGTTGGAAGAGGCGGAGAGGTGGTCAGTGCATGACATGGTGTCGTGGCATGAAAGAAAGCTGCAAAGGACTGGCTTGTGTTGGTCCTTCACGACTCCCTGGTTGGGGTCCGAGAGATGGTGCTACACAGTGGCTAGAGACGTTATCAGATATGGCTCAGAATAGAAGCCAGTGGCGATCCTGCTGTAACCTTCTTTTACTTTCTTTCTAAAAAGTGGTTGTGTCTCCTTTACCTGAAAGATTTCTTCTGATTGTACCTTTTCGTTCCGTCGTTACTACCACACTACCTTACTCCAATCTCTTCGTCATTGTTCTCTTTTTCTTTTGCGTTCCCTAGTTTTTTTTTTCTTCTTTCTATTTCTCTTCGAATTTTCATTGTTTTGTGTGGCGCATATATATTGGCGCTCTCTTGTACCAATATTTATGTGTTCAAATAAATAATAAATAAATAAATGTACCTTCTTGATGGTGGTTAGCGTTTTTTAGCGAGTTAGTTTTCTACGGGATGGGGTCGCTAACCCCATGCCCAACCCTCCTCCTTTACCCGGGCTTGGGGCTGGCAGTAAATTTACAAGAGCTACAGGCAGAGTTGAAGTTACAATTAAGCACCCCAAAATCACACAACAGTTCTTATTAGTCTGTCACATTAACTCATGACTAAACGTTTACGATCCCCTTGTCTGCCCCTGTTAGCGTATTACAAAATGGTGTTAACTTAGACTGATAAACATTTGTGCTAGATTTTACACTATTTTTTGTCTTCAGATCTAATCTATTGTAAACTGTGGGACCTAATTCTTTCAGAGTCATTCTTCAATTTAATGTCAAATTATAGATGTGAAGAAACCTCTTGTTGTGGATGCGGAGGAATAGACCAATAATTATCATGTTAAGTCCAATGGTGTCCTTGGACTTTAAATGGACGTTTCCTATTGGTCGATATCTGTTCACTTGTTGAATATTGTACAAAATGTTGTTTTCTATTTTATGGTACGATGTAGTATGCTTGATTGGTATATAAACAAAGTATGTTTGAAATACAATGATTCATATCTCCGAGGCTGTGACTTGTGTTCTGGACTCAACTGACTGGGCTGGACAGGAAAGCAGGGCCAATCAGGGCACCAGGTCGTCCACTACGTGTTTATGTGTCATTGAATCGATCGATAAATACGCTGCTCTCTAATTTTTCCAGTCAAGGACACAACAATTAGCACAGGGTAAAAATCTACGGCAACTTAAAGTCATAACACCTCTTTAAAATACAGTAATCATTATCGAAAATATTCATGTAGTTGATAAAATCCAAGTTAGAAACTAATAGACCATCCCCAAATATTGTTAACAATGAGATTTATTAGTACCACTACTGAATAAATTACATACTTCAGTTTCAAATCTAATAACAAACATATTAAAAATGGGTTCAAATACAGCCAATCAATGTTCGTTTATAGTAGGGTTTTTTGATAACGTCAATTGAATTAATTATAATCTTTACTGGCCCGATATCTGACTTCAGTTATATCGTATGATGATTGTCATCGAAATATACATGCTAGCTACCCTCGTATATAATTACCAACTTAATTTGCGTTAGAGAATAAGGGATTAAATAAGTCAAGTATGAGAGTGGATTTTGCATACATATATTTCAAACAATCGTTGATCTGAACAGACAATCAGAGTGAAGGAAGCGAAACAAGACGAAATGAAACGTAATAGCGCAGTGGAGGAGGGTGAACCAACTTAACTTAATTAAGCATGACTCGATATTTACAGTCAAGCAAAAATAAATTACGGACAAATGAATAGGGTAAGTAATTAACACATGATCATACAAAAACAGTCAGGATTAATAAGAGAATAAGTGACAAAGTAAAAATGTGGTTTGAGGGGAATGAATAGATAAGTCTGTCCAGAGGTTAGAATAACCCATGTGGTTTGACACAGTACCAGCCCCTACAAATGCATAACATTTGAAGTGTTTTCGTTAAGTAGTGAATCAAATAGATATGAGTCTCTAGAATATGCTAATTGTCATATCCCTTTATCGTTCATAACACTGTACATTAGATGAGAAAATGGATGAGCCCGTAACACATTTGAGCCATTAAAAATTTGTTAGTAAGGCGCGCCATATACTAGTTTAAAACAGAAATATGAAAGTATTTTTTTATTTGGGTCATATTTATACTGTAGTTTTATAGAACACGTACGTAAGCTTTTCACATCAAAAATAAAGGTGATAAATTCCACTTTAATTTTAAGACAGAAAGACGTTCGGATATAATCAATAGGGTATAGACTACATAAAATTTGATAACAATTTAGAGAAGAATGGAAGAGAGGATACTTAAACAAATGAAAATGACAGTAGATACAACTTAATCAAGGACAATCAATATAAATTTAGTTTAGTTAGTTGCATTTCGCTGTTCACAAGATATACAACAGTATCTCTGTTTTGAGATATGTCTGATAACATCGCAAATTGAGTTGCACAGCCTGTAGGACCAAGTTCAAGGGAGAGACAATGTACCTTTATGTCTTAATTCAACGGAGATACCATTTATTCCACTTGGCTGTGCAAGGGATTGACAGCCTATTTCCTTAGCTTTTGAGTTGATATGTAGGTCGCATCCAAACTGCTAAAGTCGGCGTTCCAAGATTTTAAGAAACCTGACCTTATAATGGTTAAACATAACAGTGAGGACCTTAAAATTACTTTGTCGGAGTCTCGAACACAATTTCTTGAAGCACAAATAACATCAAAATGAAACCTTCTAATGTTTCAATAACATTTATCCATTGTTTAGTCTGTTTAAGTGTCAAAAATTGAAGACAGTGATCTGAAAAAGCATGAGTGATCTCACAACCGCGTCTGATTTCACATTCAGTAACAACCTCTGAAAAGCAAACTAGGTGCCAGTTCTTATACTGTTCTTAAAGGCACACTTTGTGTGAAATTTAATGAGACAACCAAGTCAATCAAGCCAAAGTAGTTCAAGAAAAATCCAAATAAACAACCAACTGATTAGAAAGCGAGTCAGTTAACCACCAAGACTGAAAAAAAACCATCTGACGACTAAAGACTGTTTAAACGGGATATAAACGAGTTATAAGGTGAAATAAACACATGACTATAATATAGGTGGCAATGATAGGCATAAAATCTACAGCTAACATGAAATGAATATAGAGTGGGACATGTCAAGAATCAAATCATGAAGCACTACCAAGTGATCCTGAGCAAAAATGTATCCAGAAAGTTCTTCTTCTTATGTATCTATATATTCAAAACCCACTCAAATGACATAATTAACAGTGAATAGTAAAATTAAAATGCAAGGAAAGAATAATTTCTCATATATTCAATCATTTTTGAAATTTTTCTCGAACTAGATGCTTTACAACGTTCTGAATATGTGGTATAATTAATTTTCTAGCTTCAAGCCACTCTTGCTTTACTTTTTCAGGGTTTTTTATGGAAAAATATTCAATACCATCTTTATAGTGAGGAGCAAAAAAGGATTCTTGACTAAGAATATTCGATTCATCGTTATCGTTCTCCTGATCTTCAGCCGGTATGTCTTCATTTTCATCTAGTGTCTTCCATTCTTCCAAAACTTGTTCTATTGGAAAGTCAAATTTAAACTGGTTATGATTCATTCGAAACCTAGATTTCTGAAAGCAAAGAGAAAACGTGTATTTAATTAGATTACCACTGTAAATAAAACATTCACGAACATGAATACTAAATAATTACCTAATGCAGACTAATTTCACTTTAGGCGGTCACGCTTTGGTAGCATGTTCAATAAGATGGATGCAGAATTATTGCATTAGTGATTCCCTCTCAACGGAAGAGGAGCTGAGAGAGTCGGACATGTACCTTCGATAAGAAGACTAGAATAATAAATTTGTCAACTAAGGATTTTTTAGAATTCTTTAACACATAAGCTGGAAATCGTTAACCTACGCACAAATAATCCCCAGAAAACATTCATTCGAAGTATTTTCGCCTACAGCATGAAGACAGAACTTGCAAGTTTACTTTGTTTAGGACTATTACCAAACGGGGACATCATAGGTGTAGGTTTTGCAACAACATAAGAAATAAGACTGGTTCTTTATTCACTAGGCAGATAAACATCAGGATTCTTACCACTGTGTCAGTGAAAAAGGTCTTGCGACAGTTTTCGACGCGGTAAACATGCATTAATTTCATGATATAGGGAAAAAATGAAGGTAACAGTTTGCACTGACTTTTTATTTTCGTTTCCTAGATACACGCACCAATTTTGTTGAAGGTTACTGTAAGTCTCAATACATGGTGTCATATCTTCGTAGTCGAGATTTTAAAGACATTCCTTCCTCTTCCAATAACCAACAGTTATTATTTCACTTCAGAATTCCACTGATGAAAATTATGCTCCTTAATGACAATATGTGATTTATACGTTTATGTTTTTGAAGTTTCTTAACTATTATCTAAAATTTTCTAAGTAAAATGCTTTTTAAACATACTTATACATATTCAGTTGGATGTGCTGCATCCAAACAAATGAGAAATAAATGGTAAAAGTATGCATGAATTGGTGATCCGTTTAAAATACGAGACATTTCTAGTCACTTTTTACGTCAAATAGTCCACCTCTACACTGCTAATTGTTATTTTGTTTTATATTGCATTCGAGAATAACTATAATTTTCAGTTGCAAAATAGGAATGTCACTAATACCTTACCGTTTTTAGTATTTTTGTAAACTTATTAAAATTTGTTTAAATAAATGGATTTTCACACATAACCCATTCTTCTAACTTATTTTAACTGCAAAGAAAAGTTGGTTTCTGAGGGAGAGGAAAATTGAACTATTTGGCCTAAATCTAAGAGAAAGGGAAATAATGAGATCAAACTTCAAGCGAAAAGTAGACTACTCGAAGTACACAGAGATGTAAATTGTTTGAGACTTCCCCTAGAGATAGACGTTTGAAGAAAAAGTCTCACTATCCCAGGTTTGAGAAAGATTAGACCAGTTTTATGGAAACTTTGCATTAGTCATATTAGAAAATTTGGGCAATGTAACAAAAGACACGCCATTTCTACTAGTCTGGGAGTTTTCCTTGAAATTTCTGATGACTCTAGTAAGTTCCTATTTCCAAAGGTTATGAGCGTACTGAGGTGAGAGCCTAAAATAACCTTTTTAGGTTAGCTCACTCACCAGATACTTGGGGGTTATGAGACACTCTAAGTAAAGCCTAATGATACCAAACAGAAGTAGATGGAGCAAAGTTCGTTTAAAACTAAACACTATTCACAACCTGCTATTAAATTATGTTCAACAGCATACTTAATACTTGAACAAGAGGGTGTTACAAACTATAGTCGTCAAATTAGCACCAAGATTTGTCTAAAACTTTGAGACACTTAGGCCTACTTTCAGCATCGCTTGTAACTCACTTACAACATCCGTCAGAATCGCACTGAAACCTGGTTTTCTATCACCATAAGTATACGTATCTTCAGAAATTCAATAGTTAGCCACAAATGTGGATTTCTACGACGGACATACACTGTAAGTATATTTTAATGCCAACGTAATACTACGAGGTTATCATCCCATTCTAACGTACGTCTATGCTCATTCAATGATATCACTTATCAAGAAGTTTCCCGCTAGAAATAGTTCTAAGTTTAATAGGTCTGCACATTGGTTCAAACTTTTAGATCATGGCAGCACATTTTACAAGTTAGAGTTATCAACGAATTTATCCAGTTATAATATGTAATGGTTTTAAGTTTTATAACACAATCACATTTTCCTTCAGCATCAATCGAAACTCCATGTTATTATCAACGACATCGACAGGAAAAGTGTGCTCGAATACCCAAGCGACTAACTGTTAAACGAAAAATTATTTATGTACAAGGAGGATGTGACGTCAGGAGAAATCACGGGTCGGATTAATCCCGATGCTGACTGCTTTTTGAAAACATCCAAGGTTTTAAACTGTTGTGGTTAGTTGTGATAAAATAAGATATCCTTTCATATAACTTCCAGTCAGCTGTGGGTTCAAGTGCTGGATTTAATACTATCCTCGGGTAAAATGCCAAAGATGTTATGCTATCGTATCTTTCAATAAAGTTTATAAGGTAAAATGATGATAGCATACAACAAGAACGTTTGACAGAGAAGCAAAAAGAAGCACAATGTTGATGTGTGCACTTCCAAGGAGTTGAAGGTTCGCTGTACTTTTGTAGATTTCTCATAAATTAACATTTTGAAGGGGTTTTACATAGATCTATTACGCAAGTGTTTGGTGATTTAATGGGACGAAATTTAAGACTGTTAAGATTGACGAATGAAATTTTGATTGATAGATGAATACAATGATATGATGTGGCCTAGTGGTGGCTACTCATGAGATCTTGTTAATGACTAAGGCCTCCGAATGATTAAAAATAAAAGACCCCTAGCCGGATTAGATTTTCGTGAGATAAAATGATGTGCTTAGGTACGGAATATGAATACAAAATAAACATGGCCAAATATTTAAGGTGTAGGTTACTCATTACCCAACCAATTAAGACATGAATATTAGGCTTAATCTTTGGGCATCTTATCACAATCGCGATCTATTCATTTAATAGATTCATATATACCAGGTTTTCGAAAACTGAAGTTTCGTCATCACAAGCAAGTTGTATCGTTTTAATGATCGGAGGTTTCAGGCCTTGAAACAAAATGTTGACAAAACAATGCCAGGAATTGCAGATTTATCTAATCAGAAAAATAATTTGACGGCTTACGTTAAAATCTCATTCATTAAAGTCAAGGAGAAAGTATATAAAACGTGGATTCCCGACCTTCACAGTTTCTATCTCAGACGCCTGTAGAACCAGGTACATTGGAAGCTGTATTGGTAGATCAAAAATTCCGTGATCAATTTGTAGGTTGCCACAGTTGTTAAGTATGATTAAGGATACAAGAATATCAGCGATCATTGAGAATGATCTTCGTGAATCAGCAAAGTTAATTTCGACTTACATAATGACAGACTACCTTGAAATAACTAACTCTAGATGGAACAAAAAGCGAGCTGAGTATTGGCAATTACAGATTTTGCAAAATGATTTGAAGTAGGTTAGAATTATATCAAACATTATTGGTTAGATGTGATGTGTTCCAGATTTCAAGGTGACTCTTTGTCTGAGAAAGATATCAAATCGATTCATCAAATGACCATGAGAGCCAGGTCATCTTGTAGTGCAAGAAGTAAAGTAAACAAGAATGGGACAGAAAGAAAAGAAAATTCAGGCATAGGTTAATTCGTACGTTCATGTACAAATCACTAATTCCGGTGTATTTTTACTAATTGGCTGGCTTCCTAAATACTAAATAATATCATTATAAGATATCCATTCCATGCAAAATATTTTTATATGAACTTTTGCAGACCATGTCATTTCAAACGTTTACGCCGACTCTTGCTGTATATATGTACTCCGTCAACAAAGCTTAGTGACAAGACTTCGATGAGGTTCATCTAATTATGTAGTACTTTTAATTGTTTTTTACTTCTTTTTCTACCTGGCTAACCTTTTTAAATGCAAATCGTCCGATTTCCTTATTCAACTGCAACCTTTAAAGACAAAGTAGGATTTACGCAAAATGTTCATATTACCAAACTAATCCAACATTTTTTTATTTGTAATGCGTCAGTCTTCTGGATACGGTGGTGAATAAATTAACAGAGTACACAACAATGAACATTATTGTTCTAAAGCAAATAGCTGTTTCTCACATTTGACCATCATTTACTTTCATTTTCTTTATCCATTGCTAGCAGATGGTAAAAGAAGGCAAAATAATAATCATTAACAAATAATACAATTTTTAGTAATGACCTACTAAATCTACGGATGTTACGACGTAACAATCAACTTGAAAAGGCCACTTCCAATGCCCAATTTATTTCCTCTCAGTTTTCAGTAATAGTAGGTCAGTTAGTGTCTACTAATCTTCTAAGCATTTTCACCCTTGAAAATCTACTGCTCCGTTAAAAGCAATAATCGTTGAGGCTGATATCTGTTTTTGGTGATGAGCGACCTAGATGTTGACCACTGAATGGAAACTACGGATTATAAATATAATCTTATTAAGAAACAGTTTTTAGACGTTTCAGAAACAGTTTCAAAAGGCCTTAGTTCTGATGATAAGAGAAATATTATGTAACTTGTTATGGTTCGCATCTAACCAGAAGGAAGTTTGTGTACTACTGGGAGATGCAGAGTGTGTGAGTGAGAACTTAAACAAGGAAGAATAAAAAGTGGTCGGTCGACGACCCAGTAAGCGCATACGATAGACCTACACTTAAAATCCAAGCAATCAACAAGAATTAGAAATAACACAAGCCTCAGATTAAGACTATCATGGAATAGGACCTGTAGGTGTATAGTTTTACCCGCTACAGTCTTGACTTTCCGATTGTTATCCAGTGTGTGGTAGGCTAACATAAGATGGCCTCCTATAATACGACAAGTAAAAAAAAATAGTCATCCCATGTAAAAATTATAAATTCCTGCTAGCAACTTAGTGTCTGTTTTTAGACCATCTTGGCATGACCTGAAAATCCTGTAGGGCCAGTGAAATGTCACTAGGCCCTAGATAAATAATCCGGCAGTTGGGTAACTGAATATCAAACCGATCATCGATCCCTTTCAATGTCAAGGGCGACCAACACGCATCAGTTAATCGTATGCCATGGACTGGCCCATACGGCAGTGGTCTTACCTTCGCTTATATCCACTTTAACTAATATATTTCTGTAATAACGTCCTTTGTGTTGTACAGCCTTCAAAACATCTATAGAACCTTGATACGTCGATGGGGTAATCGACGTAAGGTGCTGATCGCGATTTGTGACTTCAACTGTAGCTGGTTCGTCACACCATTCTCGTTTAACACTAGTAGGCCCCCAATCATTCGACATAGATAATCTACATTGATGATCTATAATTCACTTAAACATAAGCTAGCTTCTTAGATGTGATATTGGTAGCTTATGAAACTTTGAAACGTTTATCAGTCAGAAAATTCAAAAGCTTTGGTAAATGACCGTAGAAATGCGACTCTTTGGCAACTTTTACTTTATGGCACGCAGTTGTTTCCATATCATGAATTTTTGTGACATAACTTTTGACAGTGGTGTACTGTTGATAAAGAACTCTTTAATATTGCTATTCCTGGCTCGTAATAGTATGTTTTTGGTGGGAGGAGTCTTTTCTGGACATCAAATTTTGAACTATTCAATAGGTTTTTCCAAATTCCGCCTGGAGTCTAGCCTTTCAATTTCACCGGGTATTTTATTCCAAACACATACATCGCTTTCATGTAAAAAAAAATGGTAACAATCTACAGAGATTTTTCATTGCGTTAAAGTTGAGTACGAACTGTGTATGATCTAAGTCAACATCTCATGGAGTGCTATTATGGTATATTTCTATTACGAATTAAGCCCTTTTATTCTGATTCTCTTCCTTATACTGCACAGAATTCTATCGATGCAACAGTGTGTTGTGCTTCTGATTTCAAAATTCGAAGGCTTGTTTTTACGTGCTACATGAAATACCTTATCGAATGATTTGCTAAAATCCATGGATTTTGCACCTAAAAACTGACAACTATCCCAAGCTGTATAACTTATATTCTTAAACCAGGGACGATCAGCACAAAGTCATGTATATTTTAGTACTGGTAAGAATACTCTAGGGTGAGTGAAATGTCACTGGGCCCTAGCAAAATCATTTTATATTCAGGTTTCTAAATGTCGAATAGTTTACTGATTCTCGTTAAGGCCAAGTAAAACCAACGTTCATCATTCAGTTGCACGCTATGAACTTGCCCATGCAGCGGTGGTCACACGTTGCTCTTGTACCTATTCTTAAGAACACATTTCTATAGTAACGTTACGTTTTAATTATACAGTCATCAAAGTAGCCATGGTACCTGAACATGATGGAAAAGTAATTCACGTTTGGTGCTAACCTCGAGGTGTGACTTCAAAGTGAGTTAGGGATGATCATGTTATTCCTGACCAACTGGAGTAAGCCACAGATCATCGACACAGATCACGTACTTTGGTGAGTTACAGTACAAAAGATTTGACCTCTAGTTGTTAACGTGTGTGAGAATTGAAACTTAGTAACATAATCGCAGTTATGAATAAAAGTAAGGTTCAAATCCAATAGTTGATTTTATAATGCACTATAAAATAGAGCAAGCTTAATCCCTGATAGTAGTGATAACAACGACTTAAATTTCGGGTCCCACTAACTTGATGTTTGACACGTTTCGATCCCCTACAATCAGATAATTAACTGCATTAATCCACGTGTAGATCTGACCTAGAGGATTTATCCTCAGTATAACTTGGACGACGACGTGTTATCAAAATTATTGCCAAGTCATAATCACAATTACTTATAGATTTTGTTGTTTCACTATCGCTTGCCCTCGACACACTTGATTGCAGTCGTAAGCTCTCTTCGGTGTATAACGTTACACCTATTCCTTGTACATTGAAAACCCTGTCAAAACTAGCATAAATACCGTGTGAGACGTGAGTTTGTAGCAGCCCAATTTAAGTGAATGAGATTAAGCTAAGAATCTCCTATTAGGATCGAAACATTATAGTTAAGATATTTATCTACTTCCTTATTTTTTGTTGGCACTATGTCCCTTTTATCCGATATTGATTGTTGCATGGTTTTCCTAATTGAAATAAGCCACTCACTTTCCACGAATTCACCCTCATGGCAACAAACCTACTACAATTACTTTAAAGCCTTTCAATATCATATAAACGAGAAGTAAACATAAAACCAATAATTTAAAATTCGTGCGTGTTTTAGTACATGTTTCCACGGAAGCGACCAAGTTTGATGTTGATCCTCTTATAAGTTCATTCGTGACTGCGTTCGTTCACAGAGTGCACAGTCAAGGTTTTTGAGAGATTACATCTACGGAGTTAATCTTCCGAACCTCACTATTTCAAATCCTGGGTTTCAAGGCTTATCCTTCCAACATTCTGTATCTAGTCTACCTGGAAAGATAGGGATATCTAAGTCGTTAAACATCAATTTTTTCAACATCTTTGCAGAGCACTGAATGAAACACTACCTCTTCGCATCTGTTCATTTGCTCTCCATATTTTCTCCAGACAATTGAGGAAAGGATATATTTTTTGCCAATCTCTTGAAATTTACCGTGAATTTTAACAAAGTGAAGATAGATAAGCAACGTAGTTTGTGAGGTATCTGTGAATTTCCTAAAGTTGTTGAAGTCAGTATTACCACAACAAGATGACTTCTCAGTTCACAGTCCCTTTGTCTTGATTGTGTATGGCGCAAGATATTCTGCACGTAATTCTTACTTCACATTTCTTGCTAGTTGACACTCGTAAGCATGGCGTGCCTGAGATCATGAAAAGACTGATGTAGTGTAGCAGTAAATAAATCCGCAAAATAAATAGCTCTTTAAGTTTTCAACATTGGATGCTGACCATATGTTTTAGTGGACTCATCTAGCTGAAGGCGCTCGTTCATGCATCCGCACCAGATCGCGTGTGGTAACGCTGTGCTCAACATCTACCGCAATCGCTAGCCAGATTAGATCAGAGAATTCCGGTATCTTGGTTATCGCCAAATACACTCTTCCGATCTCCTCGACTCTGTCTTTTGATTTCTCTTGGTGGGTACGAATTATATTAGAAGGTGTTGCTGGTAAAAGCGTTGTCGAACACTGAATACCTGTGCCATCTTCAGTAGCTTTTCGGATTCAGGCCATCACCACACAACTTCATATTTTCGGTCCTTAATACAGGTAATTTGGCATCGGCTGACCGTATGGGAATGAGACATTTAAACTGGTCGATCGGTAAATACTGACCACTATTATGTCTATCTAGTCCTTAATGTCAATTGGTACTAGGTGCATTTTTCCGTATTATTACGATAATTGACCTATTCTATAGTTGTAGTCTTTCCATGATGTTACTACCTTGTAGTTGCATCGTACCCTAACCACACAATCCTCAAAGATGAACACGAGACGACTGAGAAAATAGGTATTCAGTATTTAACACGGACCGAAACCCAACGGTGGAGAAGGAGGTAAGAATGAATTCAATTAGTTGATGTTGGTCGATTGGCGTGGCTTGGCTTTGCAGGAGTGATCCAACTTATGTAACAGTCTTTTATCGATATCAAGCATATTGTTTTATCTCCAGAATAAATCTTTTCTTCATCATATATTGATGATTGTTGCCGTACGAATAAGTCAGGGTAGATAATGGTGTGACATACACGTAAGATCTTATAGATTAGGCAGTCACATCATGACAAATTTACAACTTTAGGATTGGGTATATTATTAGAGTAGTACTAATATCGAAGTAGACCATAATTCTACAACCCTACCTACCACACCTTACGTGGAAGTCACATTATTATCTACGCTAACCCGTCGTATAGTGACAGTGATTGCTGCTAAGAATTTTTGAAGAATTTATTAGGGAAGAGAAGAGGTTACATAGAGTGATCACAGCTTCATGGGTGAGTCATGTTATATCGATCAAGTGTTCCGTGCTCACCATTTCTGACCTCTGCGTGTTAAATGTCAAGTGTAAATCTGCTCAATTATCATTTGTCCAGTTTCACGGACCGTGCGGCTAAAAAACCATTTCTTCTGCATTCTTTTCTATGTAAAATAATTACGCACGTTTCTGATTTATGTTTTCAAGACAATTATTCAATCGTGTTGATATTCATCGTAATTTTTAGCTTTCACGTGAACCACTACCTATTGATGTATCTACCGCCCTTCATACAATATGTTTGGGCTAGGGTGGGTACATGTCATTTTTATAGGTATGATCTACAATTTATAACATTGATTTGCAGAAACTATGTTTTTCAATGGGAATTTTTAAGAAAACGAAACCAGTGTAGATAAAAGAAAACACATTCATGTAGATGTTGCAGAGGGTTAATGATAAAGTTTATTTGTTTTAGTATTGCACTATGAGTGCAGTTTTCATAATCTTTTACAAAAGTGGAATCACGTCCATGTCGCACACCAGGTCCGAATTCGGAATCATTATGTTAGAATTCTGGTCCTGCTATGTATTAATACGACACAGCATTTTAAGAGGTTTATAGTTGTTATAAGGTTGTGGTAAGTTACTCATAAACCTGTCATTCAGTTTTGTATCTTGAATGTTCCAGTTATCTACACTTTGTCATTTATCATTCATTTTGCGTCAGGCAAGATCTCTCCAGCACTCTTAGTGGCATACTGAATAAGCATGAGAAGTCTGTTTGAGCTGAAGACTGCATGCCGTATCTTGATTCTCACTAGCCACACGAAGCCCCTAGACTGATATCTTGGCACTTAAATATCTCCTAGGTACTGTACTTTTATTTGGAATGAATGACATACCAGAGTTATTGGCAGATGATGTTGATGCTGTTATCCCATGTGATCACATAACCAACTTATTTGAAGTCGATTTTCTAGGTTTTTGACGGAGTCCACTCAGATTGTCAATCCTAACCAGTGTGATGCATGCTATTTATATTGGTAGATATATACAGTATGTAACACCGACCAGAAGTGGAAGTTCTGTTAACGGAAGGTTGAGAGAAATGAACCGAATAAAACGGAAAGGGAAACAGAAATAAATTGGGGAATGGAAAAATCATGAGGGATTTAAAGAACAATTGATGAACAACTTGCAAACGAAGCTTTTGGTGTATGGCTTTCACATTTTAGCAGTTTTGTGATTTAGTAATTTTGTTCTAGATAATAAAATTGATTATCTTCACCAGGTCTTCGTTTACCACAGTAGAAGTAGCACAAAACCACAGTAGTTTTAGCAACACTGTTTGGCGTATGGAAATGTAAAATAACATTTCACCTCTGCAATTTATGATATGGGAATCAGTAAAGGTGATTTAGTCATTCTTCCTTAGACGAAGTATAAGTCCAGTTGTTTTATAGCACTTGGATTTGTCTTGGCAGCATATGCTTCATGTTCGAGATATACATTTGGTGTTTTAAACTCATACAATAAATATAGCATCCTAATAAAATTTTTCCCCGATTTATGTAGGGAATTACGTGGTAATTATAAAGTGAGGAGACATATATTAGTTGTTGCTCACCTGTTATTTAAGGTCCTGGGGTCATAACTTTTAATGACTCAAGATTATGTGATAGAACTCGAACAACATTGCGGTAAAACGGATTTTAATGGAACTTTCTCGATACACAATGTAGACTCTCATTTGAGGTCAAACGGATAACTACCTTGAATGGACTTTCAAGCCTACCTCTGCCATTTTTCTACCGTGATTATTGTGTGTTTTTCTTTGCTCAAGTCACACACACGATCATAAAACCCAAACCACTGTTAGAGTCGAGAGCTCATTCCTAGAAATTCAAAAGGAGTGAAAACCTCGAGTTATTTCAAAAAGCACTTCATTTTACCTGCCACTCGCGGAATTCCATCCTACCCTTTCTTAAACAAATCAAAGTAAACAGTCCAAAAATCATAAAACAGATCAGAGAAAATCACGAAACATCTGTCCAAGTTAGAGGCCAATTGATACTCAATTTATGTGGTTATTAAAATCGCACATCCAGGTAAAACTTAAAAAAACCGAAATTGAAAACAAAGAGAATTATAAAAGCCTCATCGAAGACCAAAAATTCAACGGAATATTGATTCGAAATAGTCGAAATTACAACTGCACAAATGAGAGTAAGAACGAAGTAATATCGCTATACAAGCTGGGTACCTGGAGTGATTTTCACGAACAAGCATAGCTATACATGCAAACTTATACACAAAACGATCTGTTATGGCTCTTCTCTACATTTAAGCGAATTCTAGAGAGGAAATTCGATGATCATGTATATATCCGTGGTTTACTGTCCTTCTTCTGGAACACTGGTTAATTATTCCCACTCACGGAGAATGCGATTTGAAATTGACACCACAGTTTTATTTATTATCATTATTTGCAACACACCATACGACTTATCTGTTGTATTTTTTCATCGGGCATTTGTATATTTTCATCTTCTATGATCATTTAATCAACTCACTAGTAGTGGCTCTGCTTAGTGCCATAACTACTTAGATCCAATGGTACCTGAGATGTGGATCACCTTCATATTAGACAGCGAGCGTAGTGATTGATTACCAACTGCATTAAGTTACATATATACGTTGGATGATAGGATCCTCCCAGCCTCAACGAAGTTCCGATAAATTCACTGATATATAAAGATTAGTGTCAGATGTGTGAATGAAATAAATTTGATATGGTCGTCTGATTCGACGATCATTTGAGATAGGCACATTGGAGTATTTTGAAAACTGTATTTTTCTTAATAAATATCTTCGTTTGAATATTTAGTAATTCCAGTGACGTAATCTTAACGATGGTTGAAATACTACAATGAATTTTCAGAATGGACATCATCATAGACATAGGTTCCGAGTAGTCATTTCTATTGTAAGAATCTTGTGGGAATGTTACTCATAATGTTCTGTAATGTTGAATTAGATGTCATCAAAACAACACTGAAATTCCTGGGCTGTTTATATCTCATGTTGATGATCCTACCTTTTGTATAAACAACTTTCAGATGTCTTTGGTTTCATTGTGTGAAGTCGCATACAGTTGGACTCTGTCAAAGGAGACAAACTTAGGTGTACCTCTCTGGTGAAGTCTGACATTTTTTTTACCTATCTCGAAATTCATGAGGAACAATCAGTAGGTTGACAAGAGATTGTCCCTGATGCGATAAAAATTGGGCGCTTTCAAGAGCGCCTCTTGATTTATTTCATAAAAATGAACAAAATATTTCATCTCAGTTTTGGTCAGTGCTGAACCCGATTGTTCTACAGGCATCAAACAGTACAGACCGGTTACAGTGGAGCGGCGAAACATTAGTAAGGAGGTGGAACTATGTCCGTCATATGTACGAAAGGGTTCTCCACTGCACAACGTTACAGAACCTTATGTATTTGAGTGGAATCGTGGTTACGTAGATCGAGGTACGAAGGGAAACGACAAAAATATTAGACTATCAAGGATTAATTCACGAGATGGAATCATAAAGCTCAGCTGTAATCAGTTTCATGAGCCTAAAAACATATTTCGGACCATTTTATATACGGAGGGACACCATACATTGTGACTTTTGCTGATCACGCCGTAGAAGGGTAGGTTCAGGTTGAATAGTTTAGATTCTGATGGATGAGCATGCCTAGGCACTAATGCCAATAGACTGTGGGACTTAGTTCCAGGATTGCCGGTTTATGTGCAGAACTCTTGAATTAACTAAACTAATCCTGCCCACACCAGCCGTTAAATATCGATCAATCCTAAATTATTTTATCCAGATTTAATAACAAACAAGTTATTACAATCCATTTTTTCTTCTGGCATTTTCACCATATTTGATTAGCTGCATCAATTTAATAGGTGCCTGGATCCTTGTTTGAAATTTGAATTAGTCATTTCGGTGTTGCTGTCCTCTGTTTTCACAAATGGCACAGAGGATCTTGGAACCGTTCAGAAAATTGCCCCATCAATTGCAAAATCTTGAAATTGTTAAGCGGATACATGATTACACACTTGGGAAACATACCGATAGTTACTCTTGTCACCAGGTGAGTTCTTTTTCCAACATTATTTGCGATAGTCGTCTGCTTACGGATGTCTGGAGTCTCCAAGCGCTTTGGCTTTCGATGAAGTTCTTGGCTTATTAGCTGTAGGAACAAGTAAAGGGTAATAAAAATGTAGGTTTCGACGAACTCATCTCACATTCCTAGATATGGCTCACCGGGCATTGTTTTCACTGTCCAACGAGAGGGTTCTCCGATAATTTCTCTTTTGTTTTTACCAGGTGAAGTAGGTCCTCTTTACACTGATGTCATACCTTATAGGGGCGGATTGTTTGCGCTTCGACTGACGGAACTTTATATCTTTTTGAACTAGATTCTAGATGTGGACGATGGTCACCAACTAGCCAAGTGAAAGTTCAGCAAACGTAAGTTAACTAATAGGTAATTTCGTTTTTTTTAACAAATGGGGATATAGCTGTTAGGGATATGCTAAACGTCAACCTCATTTGGATGGATTCATGCTTTTGCCTAAAACTTCACTCGCAGACACGGCAGCCAAACAAGGTAATCTGTGCATCTCAAAAACAGTAAGACATTAGATGGCTAAATGTCTTTTCTAAGTAAAATGCACCGCTTTTTACTCCTGAAATCCGCGTACATTTTGCTTAGTAAGACTTGTTCCAATGACCTGAATTTTATTTTGATGGATATTACTTCACAAAGTTGTTCATGGGGAGCTCATTGGTCTTGTTGAAAGAATTAGGCATTTCGTATTAACCAGTCTGGCAGGGAATCCAAGTCACTTGACATCCGTTTACAACTGAGTTCGTGCTTTCCACTGAGATGCAATAGTAATTAAAAAATTCGATTTGTCATGTTGGTTACTTGGGAACCTAGACACAATCATTGTTCTATCTCACCGTGTCCAGCTTTGAAATAGAGTTTGGTGACGAGATTCGTGTGGCTAAAATTGTCTCATTTTTTTCAGCTGTTATTTCTCACGGGTTGTGTCGTACAGTACCTTCACTTTCTATTATATACGAATGTGAAAATGAGTTAGTTTTCAGCATGTAGTTTGGCTAACGTATTAGCAAGATGCCATACCGTATTGACCTTCCTTGATCTGTATCTGCTGACAGTTGGTTCTAACGAGAATTTAACTTGTCAGGACGTTAATTTGTTAGCTTTGTCGGTGTAATACTTCCCTTATATTTTGTTGAATATAATTTCGACTAAAAGTTAGGAAAGATGGCATATTATTTTTCCGGTGCTATCCACAATCGTATTGTGTGGTCTGTCGTCCTGTCGTTAGTGTACTTCACAGTATGACGTACTTGTCGGTTTTCACGTGAATCGCCTTCAGAATTGTCAAAAAAGACTCCAACTTATGTTTGTTTTGTTTGAGTGCAAACATGTGCCTGTGCATAATAATATATTGAATACTTACATTGGTAAATTAATTTGTACTTATTTACATTCACAGCGGTGAACAAGATCTTATTACATGTATTTGTCTTGGTCATGGTGTTATTTACATTGGTTCTGCAAACGGTACACTGCGTCAAGTTGCGGTTAAAAATGGTCATATGACACTGGGAGATGATACACTCACTGCATGTACAAGTTCAATTATCAGCGATAGGTAATTCCTTTAGTGTTTCCATGTATTGTTATTGATAACTATCCTTAATTTGCTGTAGGCTGACATCTGTGAATACTTTTTAGCTTAAAATAATAATATTGATGTCTCCAAGTATAGTTAATCAAAACCAGTATGTGAAAAGGTCATATTATTCTTTAAGCGTATTCCTATCACCAATGTTGCTAGGATTCGTTATATGCTATTTTTTTGTTTGTTTGGAGATTTTAGTGTGATTTTTGCACACGATTACTCTTTCTCAGTTAATCCGACTCCACTGGGTCAGTTTCTCAATCCATGGTCGAGCCAGTTTATAAAGTAACTGTAAGTTTGAATCCTAACCGATTAGTTGTAAGGGAAATGCTCACTCCCTTACATCGCTTCGAAGATCAACCTTACTCATTGCGAGACGCCAGCAACCATTTGACATTAATCTTTCATGTAGGTTGGAAATATGTATGCCATTGTGATTGTGTAGGTAAACATACCTAATCCACCGTCTGTATATACTACCAACGTGTAGACTTGCAGCCCAACAGAATAAATTTTGGGCTGTCGTCGTCTGATAAGATCCTATAGCTACTTATTATGAACTAATTAAGATCAGGTTTTCAAGCTTGCGTAAATAGCTCAGATTTTATTATTTATAGTTGATTTGAATGTAAGATTCCTATAATTTGGTATGTTTTGTGTTTTAGTGTCCCCGCAGACAAGCGAGATCAACTTGGGGTAGACTCTCCCATTATATCCCTTGAATTGCAACCTCAAGGTAATCATCTACTGATCGCATACTCAGGGGGCTGTGTAGCAGTGGCTATTCCTCAGCCTATTCCATCAGAAAGCGTTACACAACCAGCTGCTCCGGGGGATGTTGTCACTGCTCCTACAGCTCAGGGGGAAGTTGTTACTCCAAATGTTGTCGATGAGTTGGCTCCAACTATTCCCCAAGAAACTCAGGGTGAAGCAACAACAGGTGACAAAACTGAAGTAAACGGAGAGAAGTCTCAGCAAGTTTCAAACGACAGTGCTGTCGAGTCAACTCCTAGTACTCCTGCTAAGGGACATTCGGAGAAGCGATCAACCCTAAAGTTTAAGGCGTTGACACGTAGTTTGAGACCTGATGCGTCTAAAGCAGAGGCAAGTTTCTTCAACGTTTTGTTTATTTGGATTTCAAACATGTTTAGTTAGTGTCCGGAATTGGGTCTAGGCCAATCTTTTCTAAAATCACTTTTGCTCACACTTCCATTAGTTGCGATGATCGAGATACGCGTTACGTATTCTCAGGCACTCCCTACCTACTAATACTGTAAAAGTAAACTGATGGTCAGTATTTACATCTGCTTCACGTTTTTGTTCGTTCGTTTATATTAAAAGAATTTTTACTTGTTAGATTTAGAGAAATGATTGCTTGGTTTGGTTTATCACGATCCAGCACCGTTCAGAGAGCTAGGTTTAACAATGCACTGTATTGTTGTGTCATTTTGGGGCGAGTGTTTAGTGTTTATTGGTGACCTCTAAAAGAGCTTGACGACCAATAGTAAATTCCATTGTAGGGTAGTCGTAATTTGACACTAACTTCTACATTACTTCATTCTTTGTGGAATGTGAAATTCATGTTTTCACCTTGTATATACTCATTTAGTGTGTCCTTAAGAAACCATCAATGCTAAAGATTTGCTTCCTGTTAAAATATTCTTTATTGTCATTCGATGTGAATGATTTTACTTATTTACTACTGACTTACTATTGCAGAAAGAAGAACCATCATTACCTGTACCTCCAGCTCCTCGTATCAGTCATTTACTGCTTCGCGACCAACCAGTTGAATGGGCCTCATGGCGTGTTACATCCGTGGACTCTTTATCTACTGAAGTTGTAGTTGCTTATGGTGATGGTGCATTTCAGGTTTGGCCTATTGTTGCAGCTGTTAGTGATCAACCGTTTGAGCCAATCATTGTATCAATGATAGATCCACCAAACACTCCATATGGTAAGTTTTTATTACCAATTATTTTACATCAGAGCTAAGGGTTTACAAGTTTTAAGGCAATGTTAATCATGTCGATAATCCACATTGTGGTAGGATTCACGATTAAAGCTTTCTTAGTTAACCAATATGTTATGGCGGTAGGATTTCTCCATTAGTAGTTTGGGGTACACAGTCTGCTGGTTTTCCACTAACCAAGAAGAGAGTAATGGGGGACTATACATAAAAACAATCTAACCCTCCTTACCATAAAACTTCACTTTTCTGAAAAGTAAACCAAAATCTTCACTTTCAAGAAATAAGTGCCTAGTATCAAGCAAATCCCCAGTCACGTAAACTATTCCCCCTCTTATTCAGATGTTGATTTCTACGAAAAGAATTCATGTCGTGTATCACACTCACGCAACAATGACGCTCCTACCATTTTTATCTTCATTGTTTTCTGTCGATAGCACTATTATGTCCACGGTTTTCACAAATCCCTAATTTTTAACTGTTACTATCGATTTGAGTATGCTAATTACGACGTATAGTTTTCTGCAAATAATCCACACTAACTACGTTTTTTTATGAGGGCTTATTTTGACATCTATCTCAGTTCCTTGTATTCAGAGCCTGCAATTATTCATAGGTCCATATCACTTTGCACCATTTACAATTTAATGGTCAGAAATGTACTAAGATGTAATTGGTTGCACGTTTTGTATTTTGGACTCATCACTTAGTCTTCAGTTGTCCGTTTATCACATTACTATTTCTTAAGCGCCACATTATAGACTATTTTTTTACTATTCGTCTTTCATGTATTATGTTCAGCTCTTACACTGACGGCTTGATGGTACGGTTGATAATTGAAATCATATACATTTAGCTAAAATCTTTTCCAGTTCCTTAAAAGAAGTTGTGTAGTGGAGAGGATATTGTCGACTCTCATGACATGATTCTTATGTACTACAGTAATATTTCGCTCTAGGACTTTTAATCAACTGTACCATGTTATTAACTTGAGAGTCCTTGAATGATTTCGTATCAATATTCTGTCTTTTTCTAAAGGTCCTTTACCTTGTGGCGCAATAAATAAAATATTGATCAGTCCATCTGCAAAGTAAGTTAAACACTTTTCCAACTTTTTTCTAATATGTAAGCACCGCAATTCAAGTCGTGTTTTATATCCCTAAAAGGTATAAACCATAGGCTATTAGAATTATGAAAAAATTGTCTTGAATAAAGATACGTGTATAAAATAGAACTAATTCTTATGAACTGTTTATAACAACTGGTAAAAGGATAAAAGGTGGATATGCTTTTGTTCCTGCACTCCATTTTCCTGATTTTAATGTGATAGCTTCACATGGGTTTCATATCTTCCCAGTGCGAAATTGGATTCAATCTGCACGACTTTGTCTTAGCTCCAATCATTTGATTATACCTGGTTTTTCATCTGATTTGATAACAATGCTAATGGAAACTAATGACCCTTTAGGACAACTTGGAAACCCCTATTTGCGGTGTATACACAAAAATGTAAATTTAATAAATTATCTTCAACCCATAACATGCCGCTTAGTATCAGCTAAGCATCAGAATAAACTTACTACCAAGTACATTTTCATGAAGCCCATGATACTACCTGGTTGGTAGGTGGAGTGGGGTTCGAACCTGAGACTTAGAGGCCGAGAGTTGAGCGCCTTAATCACCAAACCACTTTTCGACATCTGTTTTAAAGTCATGGCTCATTGAGTCTAAAAATTTCTATTTACTGGTAGTAATTTGTCTAATACTGACAAGGTACTGTCAATTTACCTCTTAGGGAAGGCTATATTCAATCAGTGGAATATCATATGGTGCTTTTAATTTGAACACGTGCTCACAGTACAATCTTGTCAATAGATTAATTGTTTATGTGGCTGATAGTCACTTGACTAATATAGGTATATAGTGTAAGTCATCCCGCAAAAACCACTCGGGTTTGCATATAGATTTGTTTTCTATATTTATACAGGTATTCAAATTGTGAGTGACCAAACGTTTAATTGTCTATCCTATTACAAAGTGTGAGGCATTTTGAATTGATTTTCATGATAGTTTTTGATTCATATTTTCATAGTTTATTTAACTGGAAAGGATAGATTTTTGCCTCCTCGTTTTTCATAACTGTCATATTAGGTGTTTTATGCCTGCTCCATTCAGTTAACCAGTGATATAAAATATCCAAAAGGTCAAAATGGGAGTAATCAATCGGTTTAGATTATGCGTCTTCTCCATTTCGCAGTTATTTATTTCACTGTGAATAGAGCTTGGCCAACATTCCACATCGCTATTGCGTGTTCGATTATAGCCTCTCCCTTTGTGTAGTAGTGGGGCTTGTGTATTGTGGTAACTCAATGGAGCTATATTGACGGGAACATTTGCTTTACAGTCTCGCTACTACTATGCCATGGAGGTCTACTGGAGAGGAATATGATTAGAAGCAATTACTTACGAAAAGACCATATGTATCCGGTCTCAAGCATTTGTTCTCTAGACTGATCACACTCCCAGGTCGTCAAAACCATCCGTAACCCAGTCTTCTCTTTTAGGTCCTTCGAGGTGTATCTTCCCACAGCTTGGGCAGACGAGTAGTGACAACTCCCTTCATATCTGTAACAGCACTGTTGTGTTTTTGATGGGGGTTGTGAATCTTTCCAATTTTATAGTCATTTTATGTAGTGTGAACTATAAAAATTGGTTTATAGTTCTATCGTATTGTTAGCTAAATCAATTTTCCATTACTTTCTATTTTTATATTTCCAATTAGTGCCGGTTTACTAACAGTGTTTTGCGGAGGTTTACCACGTCCCCAATTTGAGAATCGTTATGCAGTGTCTGTCTTACAAGATCATGAACATCATGTTTGTTATCAGTTTGGATCAAAGGTTATTGATTTTGTACTTGTACCGAGTGAAGGAAGTGTATCAAGTAAGGTTCTTCGTCTTTTTTAAGAGATTTTTGTGTCCTAAATCATCCTATTACAAAATCATTGTAGAATCATACGTACACCATCTTGATTTTGTGAAAGTCCATTTTAATAATGAGTAACATTTAAATCTTGTAATATAGGCTTTTCACAATAAATATTTTACATATTAAGTGTAAGTCAAAGATAACTTGGCTACAGCTAGACATTATTTGATTTCTTTTTAAAAATTCCACACTCATTTTTTCTTGTTTTTTCCATTCTTTCAAGATGAAACGGTTTCAGGTGAAGTTGTGACTAAACCTTGTCCACCTAGTTATTCTGCTACATTATTAGTGCTTACTGAACGTGAACTTGTTGCGATTGATTTAACTCAACCCGATTGGCCTGTCTACGATTCACCATATCTTAATTGTATGGATTTCACTCCGGTTACAGCTATAACTCACATAGGACAGGTTTGTTTTGATATTTTGTTATTGTCCCGTTTTTTCCAGTACATTCTAGTCGTATGTAGATGTGACATCTTTAAAAGTTCATGAGGCAGATTAGCTTATATTATCTCAACTATATATTAATTCTCTAAAATGCAAGTTGGTTGTTTGTTCAGTCAAAATTCATAACATTAAATACCGAATGTGAATGCCTTCTGATTGATTTGGATGTGATAATATTTCATCGAAATTTTGCTACGTGCAGATTGAAATAAGTTGGTTAATTATGCCGGTGAATACAATGCATCAGTTTTTAAATGATTGGATAACAGTTTTCATATGATACATTTCAATGACACGGTTCTTTTGGTGGTGACACTATGTATTATATGTATTTTGACAGCTTTGACAAAATATCCATATATTGTATCAGATCTCATGCGCATTGTTGTACTAGTCTATGCTTTATTATTTATGTAGTACTTAAATCTATGTAGAGTATTCAATTCAGGAATCAAAACACTGATGAACAAACAATTGTGCTATCTGAAGAGCTATGTAGTTAGTGTGGTTAATCAGCATGGTTTTATTGGTAGTTTCATACATTACTTGTACCTAGTAGTAGTATGATTTTCTAAAAATTGTATTTGCTTATTTAGGTTCCACCAGCTCTAATCCATCGGCTACACCAAGCTGCTCAGATAACTTCAGATGATATTACCAACTGTTCATGGCCAATATGGGGCGGGTCTCATAATGGTAACAAGAAAAATTTTGCACAAAATTCTGGAAATGACGTTATCGTCCTTGGACATTCAAATGGATGGGTTACTTTATGGGCAGTTGGTCGAGGAGATACTACAGTTCATCTGGGAACTTTACCAACTTCGTCTTTGTTTAATTTAACTGATTTGCAAAATGGTCAGGTAGGCAGTCAATCAATACCTACAGTTCTTATGACTTTCTTTCATTACAAAACTTAGTATATACTAGTTCACTCCCCACTCCAACCATAATTATTTTACGATTAGTCAAAATTCTTTAAAAACAGCATGTTCCTATCGAATTATTAACAATTAATTTGTCCAAAGTTATAAGAAATTTGTACAGACATCGTTTCATCTTTTCTTACGGGTTTTCAGGATCATATGCTTCTGCGATTTCTGAAAAGCAAATCAAAGATTGTGTTCTAGTGAGCATGTTAATTAGACTATGAATTACTTACTTGAATGTGTATTTTGATTGTTCAGCTAGTTATGAGTTGCGAATTACAAGCAAATCAATGTATTCAGTTTTGTTGTACATGTTGTAACTACATCATAATTTTTCGAATGAGTCTAGTTAACTCCAGAAGATAGTTCTGGAGTGTTCCTCATTTATAGACATGAAACTAGCCGGGATGTGATTAGCTAATTGATCACAAATGATTTCGGAGCATTACTCACGTATAATGGGATAATGAAGTGAGGAGTGCTGAATAAAGATAATGAATAGGTTGGTTAGGTTGTGAATCTTAATGGAGTTAAGTGATCGAGACATGTGTTACCTATGCCAAACCGCCACCTACCTCGATTCACAATGTTGACTAAAATTGGAGTAAGTTGGGAGGAAGTTAAGGACAGTTAAATTCAGACATAGTTCTAGTTTATAAAATCCTTCATTATGTAACTAAGTTGTGTTGTAAATCGAAATTACACGTTAGCCGTGGTCAGTATTTGGAAAAGGGTAAGATGGTTCAGAACCGGTCACAGTGATGCAAATGCATTCACTTTTTATCTTTCCCTATATTGAGTTTCAGTATTCCTTCACAGACATCTTTTTATTGTTTCCTTGAGAACCATATAATGTTTGATCTTATTATCATTTATTTTGAATCTTTTGCTATTCAGTTTGTTAATTTAAGCTTAATATATGAAGTTGGTTTTGAAACTTTGTATACACAAAGATTTGCTAAAATGCTGTTAACTTAGAACTTATCATAACGACAGCCTACTTTCAATGAGAGCTCCGGAAATCAGGATGTAAATTGTTGGTCGTTTGATGCTTTTATGACTGTTCATTAACAAAAGTTAAGCATTCTTAGTCGTTAACATTTTACATTGCTAACAGTAACGTTATTACTGTTACATTTACAAAATGATTACTGAAATTTTATTTTAATTTTCAGAAGTGTGGGAATTCGATATTGGAGGAAGAAACGTGGCCACCTTTTCGTCCAGTTGGTTATTGTTCTCGAGCACAACGTCAATCTGTCGAGAATTGTGACCCACGCTTGGCTATTACACAGTTACTTGTTTTACTGGGAAGTCCAATTCGATCAGGTGTTAGCGGTTCAATTGCACCGGATACATTGACACTCGTTGTGGGTGGTGCTGGTGGTCAAGTGAGCCTATGGGTCGCCGGTTCAGAAGGATTTTTGCATTCACCGGAACTTAGTTCTTTTGAGCCTGATGTATTCAGAATATGTGTTAGCCTCATTGATCATTCAGATGAGAATAAATATATTTGGAAAGATGCTTTATCTCTTCGAGTAAGTAGTCCACTTCATTTTTCTGTTGTGTGTCAGTGTTTAATGTAAGTGGATATTTGTTTAGATCCACTAAATGATCTGCAATTTTGCCCTACTGGTCATTTCATACTATGAACTTGTAAAACTCCAAAGGGTTACGTCTGTTTGTATTCAAGTGGTTGAGATGATAAAAAATCCGAGCTCACTTTCTTTATCAAAAGCTTATATTTATTGTGGAATTATGACTAGGTGAATTATTGTGTAGAGTTAGTACAATTTATTAACTAATGTAAAATTTACCTTTTTTGAATGAAAGTTAATACTTTGAATAATCCATCTTACACCAAATATGCACAAGTTTTCCTAAAATTTATGACCCCTCGAGCTATTGATTAATACTTTCCTTGTGCTCATAGTTTGATGAGGTAAAAAATTATTATTAGTAGTAAATGGTTTCTTTATTATTATTAATATTCACTTGGTATTGTATGCTTAAATCTTCCCATTGATGTTTAGGACAAGAGGTACACTTTGAATATTTCTCCTTCAATGTATTTCCATATGTACAATCTATTGTTCTAATGGCAATGAAAATAGACACTTCGGTCCTTTTCAAATCATCAGATGCAGTCGTAAATTGAACACCAGGGTTAAATTTAAATAAACCATTAAATGGTTTTCTAAATCTTGTTACTGGTTCACTGAAAAATACACCGATCAATATGAAACAATAGAGTGTACTGGACAGTTGTTTCTGTTCGTATTTGGGATCGGCAATTCTGCATAGGTTTAAATTCAGGATATTCATATCACGTCGAGCTCAGTACCATTCTTACCACTGATTTGAATTTTATCGGTTCGTGTTTTTCAACCTCTTAATTTATCGTATTACATCACAATTAATCCTGTTGTGCATGTTTTTGGTCAACGTTTTATCGATGTGTTGAGGTTTCTTTACAACAATTTTCCTGACTGTGATAACTTAATTTAGTACAACATTTTTACCGTTCTAAATTTCTATGCTAGTGAGTTGGGTAAAATAGAACTAACACGTAACCACCCCAACTCCGTAAATATGATTTTTATCATTTATCCAATACATTGATATTCTTTTTATACCTGTCGAATGATACAACATTGTTTTGCAAATTTGATGACCTATGCGATCTTTAATTTTGGAAGCATCCTTTGCCATTGTTCTCAATTAAATTGTCATTTACTCACTTTCATGTTAGTGTCTTGTGTACGAATACCTTTATTTTTATTGCTTACAAAGGCGCTAGTCAGTAACTCACTGAGTGTAGTACATTTGTCTAGTCCTACAATTGTATATTTATTTAATCTGAACTAATCATATGTTATTGTGTACTGATTACAACCACTTGTATGATTTATTTTTCTTTTTAATTTCTAGCCTACCGAAGGTGTCCCTCATTATTGCACACCAAGTGGACTAACATTTCATCCCTGTCAACTTATTCAACTAAATCCTCCTAGCCAGATTACATCTCTTGCATTGGAGTTGTCTTGGAATCTATTGGCCATCGGTTCTTCACACGGATTTGCTTTGTTAGACTTATTTGATCGTTCTATAATCCATGCTCATTTCACTTACGATTCATCAGGTCCTGCAAAGATTGTTAATGCTGTTGCTAGTAAGTTAATCGTACTGTGATCCAATGGTTTGTGTGATATGTTTGATGTCAAATAATTGTTACTTGTTAGCTCCTATTTTATTCATGTTTATTTACAGCTGTACAAAATGTGATAATGGCTCGAGGAAGACAGCTTACATCAACAATGAGACAATCATTTAGACGTTTAAAACACTTTCGTACTTCAACAGCGAGCTCTGAGAAAACTTCGGGCGAACCTACTGCACCAGTTGATGAACATCTAACAACGCCGCAACAAACCGAAAAGAGTCTTGATGAAACCTCACCTACAGGTATGTCCTGACTATTGTATAACGTAGTTTTTAAATGCTGTCATTGTGACTATTTTCACATCTAACTGCACAAAATAAGAAGTATGTATGCCATGATTGTTTTTTCTGCAAAAGTTAGTGGTAGTTGAATTGTTTAAGCGTTTGACTCTTAAAAACTTAATCACAGGTCTAGACCTCCATCTACTTCGTTTTCGTCGACCTGTTAATATCATTAGCTTGGAGTGCGCTTCAAAGCCAAATACACTAATCTGTTCTAGGAAATTACGTTAAAAATAATAATGGTAACAATTACGGCAAAACAATTTTCCAGTGCATTCAGGTCAGTTATAATCTTCATTAGGATGCTGCCACAGCTACGCTTTAGTGTTACCGTAAGTAGGATTTCTAGACTTAATTTCTGATTAGCAAACGTCGTTTTTAAAGTGTGAATCAGTCAGTCGGCAGTCCACTACAATACAGGACCAGGTACATATATGCGTCAGTCTAAGTTGCCATACATCATTAGCACAACAAAATGAACACCAAATTCATAGAAGTAGCTATTTCAATAGTGGTGGTAATATATAAAAGAAAGATTGTGTATAAGCATATAATACAGGAAGAGAGAATTAGTTCGTAGAAAGAAAGATATGAAGCGATTTTAATCTCATAGTTTAAAGGAAAACAGAGAGTGTATACACCTACGCCATTGTGATCGATTCTCAGCCATATCATCCACAGTCTCCAACCATTGGTTATGATAGTCGCGCGGACCCCAACCAAGTCGTTTGTATCTAGCAACATGGCTGAGACCAGAAGGTGGTGACTTTGTGAACTGATGCCACATTTTAGTTTGGCCGCCCCTAACTTTCTTTTAATCGTCTCGAACACTAGTCAGTATTGCGCGTCGTGGTAATCGGTGTTCAGGTATATGTAACACGTGGCCCAACCATCTCAGTCGATGAAGATTTACAACCTCATCAACTGGTTTACCATCATTCTCTAATACCCTGCGTCTAACCTCACTATTACTTACCTGGTGATCCATCAGATGTGAGCAATATTTCTAAGATATCTGTGAACAAATACTAGTAAATTACGAGTATCTTTTACCCTTAATGGTCACGTTTCGCAGAACGAACTGTTGCGCAGCATACTCGTCCCTTAATTGACAGACGGATGGATATCTCACCTTCATCATGGGTGACGTAGGTTGGCAAATACCAAACGAGCTTTCTGAATCCGTGCAGAGATTTCGTCAGATATCAACACATTAGGACTGATCAGACTTCAAAGAAAAGTGAAATTGTCGACGTGTTTGACTATTCCACTCCCTATCCTTAGTTCGGGTGTTGACGCAGGCCAGTGTGGAATCAACAATTAGCATTTAGGAGGGGAGAAACGCATCTCAAACATGCTGACATTGTAGCTCGGTGCTATCAAAAGACTGCATTTTATCAGCGTGTTCACCAAACATGACTATGTGGTCTGTGTATTGTGGATGGATAAGTGGACGTTGTGGAAGGAGATTAATTCCTGAAAACGCAGTCGAAGAGAATGTTATTTCCAGCACTAGCTCTATGATGAAATTAAGGAGTAACGGATGTAGTGGACATTATTGACGGACACCACGTGAGGTTGCAAAACCAGATAACCTTGTGCGTACATCGAAGCCTCCAATGTTTGATTCGAAGCGGGGTTTCAGTAGACTTGGGACGGTGTTTCGCGCACTGGAATCGTTGGTCATGGTGACACTTGACGAAGAGGATATTTAGAGTTGATAGTCGAGGTAAAATGAATAATAGGTATTGAAGACGGTTATTGATTATGAATACAGTGATCTTGAATGCTGTTAGAGGTATTAGGGCGGTTACCATTTCCCGGTTGCTCACACCGTGGAAGGGTTCTTCTGGAGGTACCTGGAAAGGAAATAGGATTAGAGATGGTCTTATTGACCTGAGAATGTGACCGCAGTGCCCAAAGGACAACTGCTTGATTTCGGTCTCACACTTTTTGCGAGCAGGTTTTGTATTAGCTCAATACTTGTTGGGACATTACCACCGGAGACAGAAATCCGTGGGATAAGGCGAGATGTGCATTTTTAGGGTTGACATTTTCTAACTCCACTCTTCCTTGTGAGAAGGCGGCTGCGCTGTTATGCTGGTTGTCTGAAGGAAACACCTTACTGTCGTCACACGTGTACTGTCAGCAGTACGACTTCGCTCTCGGACCTTGAGTTTGATGCTTTTAGTTCTACCGCTTTTCAACCGACTTACCTGTCATGGTAGAACCTTGAGGAAGGATTGTTTGAGCCAGTATAACTTGATTGTCTATCAGGATAGACATGCCCGACCACTACGTCAAGGTAGCAGCAACGGTCGGGTGTGTGTGAATACTCTTCTTCGGTACTTTATTTGTAGTTATTCATTGTGTTAGTATACCTTAATCTGTGTAGATATTCCTGATCATACATACATAATTTTACTGTTTCTTACAGTCTGTTAACCTTTTCATCATTATTTTACTTCACAAACTTTAAGCATTTTCAATTCCATGTAAACGCATACTTCACTGAAATGTTACAATTTTTATCAATTGTTTCACAGATGAAATTAAAGAACAAGATCAACCTGTTAAAGCAGATGAAAAAAAGGAAATCCAAGAAAATGTTGAAGCTGTAGGAGTAACAGAGCAACCAACAACTTCTGTAGAATATGAAGAACCGAAACAACAATCAATAACGGATAATGCTGAGGTTGATGTTCCTCCTGAACCTATTCAACTGAGCCAAGAGGATATAGTATCATCAGCTGTTCGTTGTCTCCTGTTTTCTGAGACGTATGTTCAAGTGGGAGACCGTGCTCCTTCTGTCTGGGTTGGTACAGCTTCAGGTAAAGTGTTGGCTTTTAATTTGTCATGGAGAGGTACTTCTGGACCCGTTAAGGCGACATTGTCCAAGGAACTACAATTGCATCATCACTCTCCAATTGTTTCTTTGTATATCATCGATGCAGTTGATCATGGACCAATTATGCATAGCCAAGCTTACAGGTATGTACAGTGTACTCAGTAGCTGTTTCTATTATTTCTACTGTTAGATTTCTTGTTATCTGCACTACTTTACCATTTTCGTCCAATTTGAATAATTTTCTATTTTCAATTTCTATTAAGGAATTCGTGTGTCGAATCAGTTGAAAGTAATGAGAAACAAGAATCTGCTCAACCGTCAGAACCTCCTGCTGAAGTTTCAATGGATGGTGGTAAAGATACTGAAATACCTATTCAATCAACATCAGCCACACAGGATGTGCATCAATTACTTTTGTGCTCTGAGGAACAAGTTAAATTGTTCAGTATACCTTCACTTCGTCCAATTTATAAGCATAAATTTATTGACCGCCTTCGTATGCTTGGTATGTCAGTGACTTCTGGTGCTGGTTCAACTTCTAAACCAGAGAAGGAAGTGATTGAAGAAGCAGCAGATACAGTTGTTGGCGAGAGCGAGGTAAATATTTCCTTCATTTTCGTGACCTCGTACACAATAGTCCATATTATTTATTGCTTTATTCTATTTTCTGATTTGTGATTTCATTTAACTCTTACCAGGTACATAAGTTAATGCATTGGTTTTTGTGAGGACGGCACCCGAGTGAACTCAAGGAAGCTCAGGAAGAGTCGAAGAAAAGTCAGAAAACTACAAAATTCTTAACAGCTTATTAAACCACGCCAAACCCTATTGTCTCATATGGAAAGTCCCTTGCTGAAGCTATGTTTGGACACTTCAATTTGACTCAAAATTCGGACTTTGATATCAGCATCTTCAGGAGATCGGGGACTACATACAAACGCAAGACGCTTAAACTGGTCTTCTGCCATTATCGGTAATTCAAAACACTCACACTCGTGATTTACTATGCTAGCTTGTTTCACCCGCTCATCGTTTCCAGCTTTTGCTAACTTGGTAACGAATATCAAACAAAGATGACTGTTCACCAAAGATTTGCTACAAAATTACGTCCGCCACATCAACTGAAAGGTCTCTCACATTCTTGGAATAATGAAATTAGTGTACCGTTCATGTTCAGCTATGCCAAATTTGCATAGTAGTACTCGGACCTTTGCGGCGTCATCAAATGTTTATTGGTCGACTTCGAATTCTTCTTCCGAACATAGCTTCAGAAGGGGATTTCCTATCTGGGACAGTAGGATGGAACGTAGTTCTATAAGCTGTTAAGAATTATATAATTGCCTGACTTGTCCCCTCCTTTCCCCCTTTCAGGAATGCTCTTTTAAATGTGTCAACGAAGCTCTCTGCCTGTCCACTTGATTGAGGGTGATAAGGTGGAGAACGTATATGTGTAATTTCATTAGTGCTACAGAAGTGCTTGAATGACGCTAAAATGCATTGTGAGTCGTTGTCAGTCACCAAAGTCTCCGGAACACCGAAACAGATAAATAATTCAGATAACTTGCTAAATTGTCTCACTGACTATACAGTTTGCCATAGCATAGTTTTGTGGCCATTTCGTGAGTTCATTCACTATGACCAAAAACGTTTGTCATCGTACTGGGGCTGCGAAATCTGCGTGCAGCCTCTGCCAAGCACTATTAGGCTTTTCCGTTGTTGTGGTTCACACTTATTTGAACTTTCGAATGCTTTCAGGCACGACGAATAATTGCGGCATCTAGTTTCGATATCTTGATCCATTGTAGGCCAGTAAGCATAACTTTGAGCCAAAGATTTCATCAACATCCATCCAATCATCTCTCGGAAGAACATTCCAGAATATTGACGTGTAGCTTTCTAATTGGACAAATGCTAAAAACCACTGCATGCGGATTAGATGGGTGTAATGATGATTTCATTTTTACTAAAAACTTGAGAGTTTTGTACCATATTTGACAGCTTGGAATGACATTCCTTCTCACTTGCGATTTAGAGGGTTCTAGCGTTCGAATGCTCAGGTAGTACGCGGTATAGCAAGAATCTAATCTCTAGATATAACAATTTTGGAGCCATATTGGGAACAGTATCACAATAAATATTATGATTTTTGACTGTTATTTATGAATAGGTTGTATATGTGAACACAAGCCAGATTAATCCCAAACGTGTGACAGGGTTTGGCCTTCAGAATTTTACTTCTGGGTCCGGAGAAAATGCTAAACTCGAATGGAATGCTGTTGCAACGCTACTAGATGGACAGATTGCTGTACTGTCTTTGCCTAACCTTCGTAAAGTATTCAAGGGTGAGTCCACTTGTTAGCACCTTTTTCACTCACTAGATATGTTTATCAGCTGAACGATAATGATAGAAAAAGTAAGGAATTATTCGGTTGAGTACATTTTATGCAGTGGTAAATTCACGTGATTAATACAAAAGTCAACAAAGATTCCTCAATCGATTGATATCTTTTGGTTATAGTGTATTTTCCGAGCTAGTTGGTCTACTTGCGAGGTTGTCATTGTTGTTCTGGACAACATCATCGCTTACTTCACTTGGTAATGAGCGGTTTAATTGACCCAGAGGTCAATAGAATAAATTACTCAACAGGCACAAAATGACATAAAGATAATAAAACCCTTGTACACAAGTTGGAAATAACGTTGTCAGAACAAGCTGACTCAAAATTTGTGGAGTAATCAAAATGTTCACTTCTACTTGGAGTTTGCACTAATAATGTGTTGGACAACAACGAAAATTTTGCGATTGAAAAGATCCTCTACCTTAATATCATCGAAAATATCGACTGGAATTACAGATCTCCATGATTTTTGAGTGGTTAATGAAACTGTGCCATCCACGATAGAGCCTTTTTGTTTCATTGAAATCATTAATCAGTATAATTGAACCATTGTTTAGATATAATATTATGATTATCGTATACGTATTTCCCAGTTTTTATTTATTGAATTAAGGTTCATAACTATCGGTTTACGTAAAGTTTATTATAAATTCCTTTTTTAGAACGCTGTTATCCTGGTTATCTACCTTCATCTACACTTCCCTGTGTTGCCACGCGTACGTATAACACGCATGTCTTCTGGTCTATAGGATGTCGTCTTTTAGTATCCGAACTCAATCCTATTCCTTTGTTGAATTCATTCGCAACACCAGTTAGTGATGTTATAACAGATGATTTTATTGCAATCCATTTACCCGAATGGGCTAGAACGGCTAGTAAAGATGTATCAGTCGAAAATGAAAATTTAAAAACATCCAACCAGACAAACTTGGTTTCTGAACCTCTCCAGGTATTATTGTTTGCATATTATATAAGCATTTTCTTTTTCCTACCTTTTCGTCATACATTCACTGTCTACTAATAATTATTAACATTTGTTATTTCAGAGTACTGGGAATATTACCACTGACGAGAAAACAAATGGTTGTGCACCTGTAGTAGAAGAGATTATACCAACGAATAAGATGAATGATACTATACTAGAGAATGGCCAGAATATTGGTGATGTTACATTGGATTCTATCAAGGAATATTTGAATGGGTAAATTGTAGTATTAAGTTTATTTAATTAATTATAAATCTGTTTTGTATTTATTTTCTTTATATGTTTATACTTGTGATGTAAACTTTTCACTGGATTAGAATGAAATTGTATATTATAACACTTGGTTATTTATTGTTCTTCAGCACTGATGTAACAATGGTTGTAAAAACAACTGAACTGTCTACTGAAAAGCGTACTCTTGTAGAAGGTGGAAAAATTACAACTACCGTTCATGAAGTAGAGAAGGTTGATGGAAAAATTACAAAAGACGATGTTGTTAAGTTTGTCGCTGATGGTGAACCGGAGGTGGTGAGTATTACAGGTCAGTTTCATACAACATGTTAACTTATTGATTTAATACTGTTGATGGGATTAAAAAATTGTGCTTGTGGTTTTAAAATCTCTTTAATTTTCTTGTTGTAGTATCTTAGGTTATAGCGATTGATAATGGTGTTTCTGAAGTATTTTCTGTTTTCATACCCAGCATCTTGTTTTTATTAAATTCCGAGCATTGAATTATCGGTATTATTTTCATAAATTTACAGTGAACGAACTACAACTTTAAACAAATGATCGTCAAGTTATATATGGTGATAAATTGTACATAATTTAAATTCTGTCACATCGTTTACACTGTTTATGATGTTCAAGCTTTGAGAATTTAATGGTCGAATGTGAAGCAATTATCTATCCATTACAGGCTTGGTGTAAATAAGACGTCAAGTGTTCGTACTCTGAACCGAATGTTCTGCGTTCGATTCACGGTTTTGGGGATCGCGGTTACACACTGTTAAGGAGTCCCACATTAGGACGAGACAACCGTCCAGTGTTTTCAGGTTTACATTGATGGTCTAGCTAAGATATTAGTTCGTGGTTTAAACCACAAAAAGTTTTCTAAATGTTTCACTGCCGAATTTTAAATCACTCTATTGTTTATACTGGGGTGTAATTTACTATCTAGTTTATTGTTTAAATTTTCCTAGAAAAAGCAGATTGTTAAGATTTGTATGGTCATAACATAGTTTTTCCATAAATTGAGATCTAATATTCTCTGTCTATTACAGTCGATGGAACCTTGTCTAGATTTAATAATTTTTTTGTTTGCCAACTACATATATTGATTCCTTAAGACACTATTCAATGGAATCCCTCTAAACTTTGATAATTATTCAACCACTCTACTGTGTTGTCCTTTGGGTTCATACAGGAAGTCAGTCAGTAACAACGTAGAACTTCGTACGTACGTACATCACTTCGACTTGTCATACCACATTAGCACAGAGATGCAGTTGTCGATTCAAATCCCATAGTGGTAGAGGTAGTAAGAGTATAAGCAGTAATCGGGAAGATTAGGGTTTGGAGATGTTATTTAAAGGAGCATAATACAGTGAAATAAATTTGGGAAGAGAAAAAAGAGACAAGGCGGAATCAGGAGATTAAAATTTGAAAGAGCACAAAGGGTGAATGCACCTGCGCCATTGCAAACGATTTTGAGCCATGTCATTCAGGGTCTCTAACCATCGGTTGCAATTATCTCGTGGTCCCCAACCAGGTAGTCTACACCTACCAACATGACTCAGTTCACTTGTCAGTGACTTCATGGACTTGTGCCATGTTTTGGTTTGGCCACCTCTAGCTTTCTTCCAACCTACTCCTATACCACTGAACATCGCACGTCGAGGCAGTCGGTCGTTGGGCATACGTAACACGTGTCCCAGCCATCTCAACTGATGAAGTTTCACCACTTGATCAATTGATTTGCCATCCTTACCTATTACGCGTTTCCTAACAACTGCGTTACTTACTCGATGGTCCCATGATATACGAGCAATGTTTCGAAGACACCTATGATCAAATACTAGTAACCTACGAATATCCTCTACTCTTGCCGGCCACGTTTCACTGCCATAAAGAAGGACGGGACGAACTGCTGTGCAGTAAACACGTCCTTTTGTTGATAGACGGATATCTCGCCTACGCCATAAATGACGCAAGTTGGTAAAAGCTAGTCGAGCCTTCTGTATCCGTGCTGAGATTTCGTCACACACCAGACCACAAGGGCTGATGAGACTACCAAGATAAGTGAAGCGATCGACACGCTTAACTACTTCACTCCCTATCATTAGTTCGGGTGTCAATGCAACCCAATCCTGAAGCAACATTTTGCATTTCGAGGGGGAGAATCGCATCGTGAACATGCTTGCATTGTTGCTTAGAGTGGTCAGAAGATTCTGCATTTTGTCAGCGTCTTCATCGAATAGAACTATGTCATCGGCATATTCCAAGTCAACAGGAAACTGAAAATGTAAGACCGATTGTGAATTTATAAATAGTATGTTTAGAACCAACAAAGTATATACTTGTGAATATGAGTAGCGTATAAGTAAACTATATTCACTTTTTACATTACACCAAAAATAAAATAAATCCAAACTAATTGGTTGGGGTTCGCCTAATTATTGTAATAAATAATGGTTGAAGATGTTGGATCACTTGGCTAAGAATCAGTCGCGGAGATGCAAATACCATTTCCTCCCCCCCTTTATTTTCTCGATCTTTCTACTTTTCATTCTTCCTGAATCATATTATCATATTTATTACTTATTATTTTTAATACCATTGATACAGTTATTATTTCAAACATTCTCTATGTTTCATGTAATATGATAGCAGTTTGGACTTATTTTTTAAGTTCTATATTGTTTATAACTGACTGAATTTTTTTTTAGTAAAAAAAGGCCATCCCACTAATCTGAACTTGAAAGGAAAAGTGTTTTTTCCTCTGAATTTATATTCCAGTGTTCGTGTTTGTTATCTGGTATTTTGATTGTTAATACTGGGTTGATGTATGTTATTAATTTGAAAGTTTTTCTTTTCTATTGTTCATTTTAGGCACTGTTTAACTAAAGCAAATTA